AGGATAATTCAAAATGAAAAAGAGTTTCCTGAATTTCCTTAGGCTTAAATCTCTGCTAAGAAAACTGTCTCTAAATACTAAACCATTTTATTTAAGAGTATATTGAAATGTGCCAAATGTCTTTTAATTCCATCTTATTCTCACAGCAATTCCTCATTCAGAGCCAAAACAACACATGCTGTTAGTTTAAATGCTTACAGATTTAAGCTGTAAATTTCTATAGACACCCCCACACAAACACATAACTTTGTTTGTTAGTAATGTATTGGAGAATTAATATTATTTTCCCTACTAATATTTACTTGTCTTTACTTACTCCTGCCTAACACAGTATCCTTAACCAAAGAACACTAGAAGCTGTGGCAAAAAGGATCGAAGTACTAGAGAATCAACAAAGAAGCAAGTGAAGCTGTCTTTTTCAAATCATGAGTTGCCTGGGTGAAGAGTGGTTCACTGTATCATAAGCTATTTCATATAATAAGAAATAAATAAAGCATTAAAATAGTGTGGATTCTAGTAATGCCTTTTAATGGTTGTCAGGTGTGGGAAAAGATACCTTAAAAAAGGTGCTGGTTTTAGAAGGCATCTAGCCACATACTAACAAACTCTAGCCAAATTCTGTAAAATGTTGATTAACAGCCAAAACATTAATGACACCACTTAGTAATTTTAATTCATGAAATGCCTTGGCACCACAAGACACCAATTACACATGTTTATTTTCTATGGAATTTTTTATTTATGTTGCATTTTGAGACATGCAGTTAACATATAGCATGAACACATACAGCATGAGGCAATTCTCTAAATATTTTGTCATTCTTGGCAATAATTAAACATACTAGTGCAACCCATAAAAAGTCTGGAAATTCTCTAGCTCTCAGTGGCTTAATTTCTCGAAGGTGACAGAGACTTAATCTTATTCCACAAACAACAAAAGGCAAACAGATCTGCCCTTTCACCTGCTAAGGAGGATATGCCATGCATGAGAGCATCACAAGTGTCTGAGCACATGCCTTGTGGCATTAGAGTGCACGAATGTATGCGTTGTGATGGGCCCCACCTGAATACTCTACTTTTCTCCCGGCTGTGGGATATACCCTGATATCAGAATCACCTAGAGGGGTAAAATCATATTTAGACCTGTTAATAAAACTGAATAAAATTTCAACATCAAACTCTTTGCCAGAACTGCAAGCCTGCAGAGAGGCAAGAAAGAACAAGCTTAGTGAAATTATCTTTTTTTTTCTAAATAAATAAATAAATACAAACAAACAAACATCCTGGGCCGATAATTCGCTCAGTGCTGAGATAGTGTGACTAGCGGTGCAGGTAGAGTACAGAGGAGGCGCAGAAGCCTTATCTCCAAAGTCTCTTTGCTAGTACATTAGTCTGGCGAATGACCAGCCCTGCTAAGACCACACACAGGTCCAACAGGTGAGAATGATTCGCCCTGGAAAGTGCCTGGATTAAGAAAGCATTATACTGGACACAGTGCAAATGCACCACATATACAATTTGTGTGTCAGACTCACCAGGATCAATGATGACCAGGGTGCAAACTCTGAAGTACTTCCAGCAGGCTGTGCCCAACTCAATATTATTCCTGGTGTAGTGCACGCTCATCTTAGCCAGCGTAATGCCATACATAATCTATGGCATAATACAAGGTTTCAGACTTCCTAAGAGAAAAACAGTGTGTGTTATCCCTAAACATCAACAACCACTGAAAACATTCAAATACATTTCTAGTGCAGAGCTCCAGTGTCCTTGTGTACATACTTGTCCTTCACTTCAAAGTTCTACCAAGTTGCCCATGCCAATCATTCCGCATCACTGGCAGATGGGTGTGAAGACGCAGGGACCCAAGTACCTGAGCGCAAGGCAGTAGCTAGCAAGGATGATGAGTAAGCCATGTCCTGTCGCATCATCTTCAGCGTCTGCCTGTACACCAGCACGCATATTCCACTTTTCATCAGTCCAGAATTAACAGATTTCAGTGACTTTTTCTGAAAAATAAAGCAATTCATTATTAAGCTATATTACGTTAGTCAAGCCTTACAACTATTCTGATGACAACAGAATGTGTCGAATCGTTGTGGCAAGGGAGGGGCCTGAGCCTCTTTGCAGTGCATAATAAGATCAATGCACAGGCCATATACGAAATCATTGGCTGTGAGCGCATTCAAGGTAAAAAAAAATCTAAAACAATATACTGTTAACATAAAAGACCAAATTAACAACCAATGTAGAGTCCTTACAAGAGCCAGAAAGTTCGACCATATCTGCCCAGTTTTATCAGCCTTACACTGGTTGCCAGTAAAATTTTGGATTGATTATAAAATTCTCTTGCTGACTTATAAAGCACTAAACAGACTCGCCCCGCTGTACCTGAGTGAACTTCTCTCTCACTATGAACCATCCGGCTTACTTAGATCCCAAGGTGCTGGCTTACTATTAGTACCCAGAATTAATAAAGTTACGTCAGGGGGGAGAGCTTTCTCATACAAAGCCCCCCAGCTTTGGAATAGTCTTCCTGTTAATGTTCGGGACTCAGACACAGCCTCAGTAGTCTAAGCTAAAAACTTACTTGTATAGTCAAGCCTTTGGTAATTAGTTTTCCCTGTTAGTTCTATACCTGCCAGAGTCTCTGCTAACACTGTAATTTGTGATCGGTCACCCATTACAGAACTGACTCTCTGTGTTTTCCTCTCTGTGTGTTTTCCTTTCTTTTCTTCGCCGAGTTGAACAGCTGCCCATCCTGTGCGTTCTGATGCTGCTGCCTTTTCTGCCTCGATCGGGTGCCACTGCTCGCCAGCCCTCTGGACCGGCTTACCAACATTGAGCCTCCTGCTGTACAACGCCGTGCAAACCTCACCCTCACAACCTGACCCCACTGATACTACTGCTGTTGCTGCATGAACTATTCAAAATTATTCACTTGAACCAATCAATCATTCAAACTAATTCAAATTAATCAATCACCCATTGTAGAACTGACTGTGTGTTTTTCCTCTCTTTCCTTTGCCGAGTTGAACAGCTGCCCATCCTGATGCTGATGCTGCTGCCTCTGCTGCCTTGATCGGGTGCCACTGCTCACCGTGCAAACCTCACCCCCACAACCTGACCCCACTGATGCTGCTGCAGCATGAACTAAACTATTCAAATTAATTAATTGTTTCCTTCACCTTTACCCTGTTTTTGTACTATAATACTTTGTACTAACAATGTTTACTATCCGGTGTCGACCAGAGGAGGATGGGTTCCCCTTCTGAGTCCTGGTTCCTCTCAAGGTTTCTTCCTGTTTATCTTAGGGAGTTTTTCCTTGCCACTGTCGCCACTGGCTTGCTCATGGGGGCTCGGACCCGGATTTCTTTTTGTAATGCTCATTTCCTTGTAAAGCTGCTTTGTGACAACACCTGTTGTAAAAAGCGCTACATAAATAAACTTTACTTACTTACTTACTTACTCTTTAACGTCATATCAAATAACGACAATTAAGTGTTCCCCAGCACCCCATGTGTCGTGTTACAGACATACTTCAGTTAGCCTAGCTTAGTAAGTAAAACGTGCTTACCATTTTCTTTGCTGCGACCATTTTGCAGCAAAAAGCGTTTCGTTTCGCCTACAAACAGAAGACACTTGTTTAAATGCGTTCAATAGGCAAGCAATTATTTATACGTTATTAATCCTGGCTTGCTGGCTCCCGTTTACGCTGTCCCACCTGCTTGACCTCCAGTCGGAGCAGTCGAAGGGAGAGTGGATTCGTTACTTTTCTCCTCTCGTTTCAGTCTCGCGAGAGCATAAATCGGAAGTTGAACGTAACCCAGAAGGAAACTAGAGGGCTCACTACCAATTATCTGGAGCTGCGTCCAAAAACACACAGGCAACTACTCTACTGCACGTATTACAGAAATGAATAGACTTGTATTGGTGGTGTAGCCTACTATTTAGCATGGTAGTATGCGGTTTTGGATGCAGCCAGGGAGTTCCAAATATGACTGGGGGTGAATCTCAAATCGCTCCCTACTTACTCACTCCCTAGTAGTGCACTAGCTGATTAAACTATGGTTTCTTTACCGAAATAGCGCATTATGTCTTAGCCAGGGAGTCATGAAGCTTTTGCTGAATAAAAAAAATGGCTAAGTATCTGACAAAAATGCATTAGCTTTTACACGCATTGGCTATTTCATGACCTACGTAGTGCACGACATAGGGTGCAGGGAGCCATATTCAGTATACGTTACTCATTACATGCATTTTGGGTTTTTAATGGGTTCATATCACAAAGTAAATGCTTCTAATGGTTTAACAGGTGACCAATGACTGATTCTAAATGCATCTGATGGTTTCCTAATGGAATCTAAAGGTAAGGAAACTAGTGGAAACCAGTGGTCCTTTTTCAGCAGGGCAATCCCTTGGCTCCTTTCTTTTTTCTTTTCTGTTTAAACTGATATAATGTTTTATGTTCATGCATTGTCTTGACCTCACTGTAATTATACTATTTGCACTCCAGGAAAAAAAAAACTTACATCTTACATGTATTTTGAGTGTATAGATGAGATCATCTGTGGAATCTGCTGCAGTACCCACTCACAATCTAGTTCAGGCCTGAAGGACCCTGCCATTTACATTGTCATGCTGGAATTTTGTTTTATTTTAATTATTTAATTAATGTATTGATTGAAATGCTTTATATGTTTCGTTTTGAGAATCTTAAGGGAATTGTAATATTTAATAATAAAATAAATAATATGTAAGAAAAGAATGCATACTTAAAACAATTAAAATAATAATAATTAATGACAATGGCTATAAAGATTAATAAATACATTAAGAAAATGCACAAATCAAATAATTGTTTTTTTAGTCAGCTTAACATACTGACACACTGTTGCCAATAGAACCACAAGGCGAAGTTGACTACGCATGCTCTCAACATTTTTTCACGTCTCATTCCAACCAAACCATCACTGAATATTCGGCGCTTGCTTTCTCACTCTGTGCTGTGCCTAAGGTACTGGTACACAGACCGTGCTGGTCTAGTGTGAAAGCAGGGCTGGTCATGCTAGGACAGACAGGCGAAGAAAGATAATGCGGCTCACTGTCTGCTAGACACCGAGAAGAGAGCGTTTCCGAAATTGTAAATAGTGAGTTTTTGTGTTTTAAAGTTGGACCTGCAGTAGTTCCAACTTTGGTGAAAAGATGGGCTGTTCGTCGTCTAGCACTCAGACTGTGGCTCAGGAAAACAGACCAGGCACTAAACCCGAAGAAACCAACGGAGACACGGGTTTTGGTAAGTACTTTTTCACGTCCTAGTTTTAAAATCAGATGAAGTGACTAGCGTTGAGCTGATTTTTTTGTTGAGCTTTGTATGTTTTTTGTGTCGGCTTGACCATAAACGAGCAAACAAATAAATATGACTTCAAACACATTTTGAATGAATACATTAAATAGGCTACATTAATACCTTTTAAAGTACAACTCAAAATTAAGCTTTACAAACAGTAAATCTCCTGAAATCTAAATAAGCTTTGGATATTTCTTTTAAAATATAAATACCTGAAGTGTTTTATAATTTTTGTGCACAAAAAAAGGCTGTTTCCATATAAAAAGTACATGACCTTAAGAAATAGTAGGCCTAATTTGGAGTATAAAATGTCCAAAACTAAGGAGACAGAGGTTTCAGATCATTTGAAGAATTTTTAAATCATAATAGTTTTGTCTGTTGGTTGCTGCTTTTTATTCAAGTAAAAGATCTTTACACGAAGCGTAAGAAAAGATAATTCACACTGGTTGCATAGGGCTTACTGATATAGACCAAATATTATATTGTGATTGTAGTGGTATATATTGTGGTACAGCGTTGCCTGCAATGTATATTAAATGCATTAGTGTACACTAAATATGACGTGTTTAAAATTTGAATATTGCAGCTTACATACACCTCTCCAATGACATTGGAAAGCTTACGTGAAAACTTACTGTTAGAAATGTGCAGAATAACCTGGAGAGTTTTTTTTGTTTGTTTGTTTGTTTGTTTGTTTTTTGTTTCCTGAACAGGTCACTTTATAACCTGATGATTGACAAAATCAAGTAGAGAATTGTCAACTAATGCCTTATTGTCCCTGCATGTCAAGTCCTCTCTGAAGGAATACATGAGAGTGGTATAGTGGAGCATACGTGTTTCCAAAGATAGAAAATGAGCTAAGTAGGGGCGTACAAGCATTCTGATTGAGGAGTAATTTTGTTACATTCTCCTGTCTGCCGCTCAGAGCTCTACACTGCAGTTCACTGGATCAGTATAGTTAAGTGACCGCCCCAGGCAGGGATCTTTCTGTTCTCGTCTAACCAGTCTTGTTTGTCTTCACATCAGCTGTGCATCACTGCATCCATAAGGTTAAGGATAAAACCAGGAGCATTCCCCTAGCTCCCCAGCATTGGGCACTGAACAACTTTTGGTTCAGCTATAGTTTGTTATCCAGATTTAATCATCCAACATCAGTACCTGACCTCACTAATTCTTATGTGCCTAAATGCAATCAAATCCTGACAGCAACATTCTAACATGTAATGTAAAGCCTTCCCACAAGACTGTTACTGCAGAAAAAGGTGAGAAAAGCTCCATATTACTACTCTTAATTAAGACCCCCTCCAAAAAAAACGATTTATTGGATGATTCTTTAAAAAAAAAGATTTTTGTAAGATTTTCTGTTTTCTGTAACTTTTTTAAAGTTTACAGAACCTCCACTTAACAGAAAGCTTCTATACCAATTAAAAGTGTTCTCTGGAGCTGTAGATGCAAGCTGGTAAGTGCTTAAGGTTTTTAAGAGTACTGAGTGGCTAAGTTCACTGGGGAAACACGAATCTGTTCCTAAATCCAACATCTATGCAGACCAGACTTAAGCCCATATGAGGGTAGCCTGAACCTGATGTTTTAAAACACTACACCATATTAAATTTTATCGTAAAGTTTCTGGTTTGTGACTCATACCCATTTGAAATAAAGCCACCAACTAAACATAGCCTTCACACTTCTGTGTTTCTTTTTATTTGTTCTCAGTAATTCCAGTGGCAACTTACAAAACATGCTGCTGTGGATAGTCTCTGTATTCTTTTTGTTGTGCCATTTGATTCTTTTTCCATTTTTCTGTGCTACTTTGCCTGTGCAGCACAGATTTGCCTGAGATTTGCCTCAGATATACATTTAGGACAAATCTAACTAATAACATATGACATTATTTGTGTGTCTTTTTCATTTTTGATATTTATTTTTTGTATTAGGCATATCATATAGTCCTTCCTTAGTTAATCAGTTGCATAATATAGCTAAATTAAAATTACTCTGTGGATCAAAAATGAAACATTACAAGTGTAATCTGTATATTCCATTCTATTATTTGAAATACACTTTTAATTTATACATAAAAATCATTTGGCTGCAAAAGGATCTTCACCAAATGTTGTTGCCACAGTATGGCAATTTAAAAAGTTAAGTGAGATGTCACTATGTAGTAAACTACACAATACTGTCTTCTTCTGAACTTCATATTCTAATTTACCTATTTCGTAGCCAAATTTCTCTCAGCCCTCATCCACTTTATATTTATATACAAATTATTTCTGAATTATTGAGTAAGATTTTGGTCAGATTACAACCAAAATACACTTACTCCAGTACTAAAGTGGAATCAATGAATATGGTCTATAATCCACCATCATTTAATACAGTTATGCTTGCTCCCTAAACCTACTGTCATGACCTCCACATTCTAATAATTAACATGTGCTGTTTGAATTGGTTACTATATATGTTAACCAAACCACAAATAAGCGTAGTGGAGCCGGTGAAGTCTGACACAGTAGAGACACAAGAGTGGAGCAGGAAACCTTAGAGACTTTCATTATATCATAACCTTTTGTTCAGCATGTGACAATATGAAGACTTTTAGAACAAGATGGAATACCCGTGTGGCACTGCTCTACATTGCAGAAAACCTAAAGAGGGATCTTCTAAAAACATAATTTACACTAAAGACTTCTGTTTTAAAATAATTTGTGCTGTATAGTGCCTTGTGCAGTGCATGTGTCAGTAGAGAGATGATGAGTGGAGGTCAGTATTTCTGTCTATAGTGAAAGAATAGGGACAGTGTTGGAGTGTTGTGATGCAAAGTACCAGTGTGTATCAGACAGAACAGAACAGTTCGGAACATTGTCGGCCGCCACACTTCAGATGTGCTTAAGTCATGAGGGCAGTCAATGTTGTGACATGGAAAAAAGGTGACATATTGTCTGTAGCGGCTCTATAGTGCCCCTCTTCCTTCTGCTTGTCTGCAGACTGTTTTGACGGGAGAGTCTGTCATCTTTGGCAAGCCTTCATCTTGGCTCTTGTTGCCAAGCATCTGCCTGCACCACTTTACACCAGCAGGAAATTGCAGGTCTATCCAAGGATATTGCACTACAGGAAGAGCCTCAGACTTGCACCAAAGGCAAAAGCTTGGTGTATTTGTTTATTTCCCTGATCCCGTATGCATGCTTAACTTGTATTAGCACAACACACATACAGTAATTCCACATTATTTACTTCACTTTAAATTTTTTTACTTGGCTCTATGAAAGCCATTTATCATCAGTAATTTTACTGTTCTTAATAATTTCAGGATTTTATTGAATATGTATTGTAGTGTACTTTGAAGATGGACATATTTGCATCTGAGCTTTTGATTTCTTCTGTCGAACCTGAAACTCTGATATCACAGCAGGTTTCCTGTAAGATGATACCTGCAAGTGGATATGTTTTCATCTTGTAGACATGATAGAGTGAATGAAACCTAAAGATCAGAGAATGTTTTTCTTCTTTCATCCTATTTTCATATTTTGTGCTATGTCATCACATTCCATTCCAGTGGTTGCTCGCAGGCTGTAGAATCCTTTCTCCAGCAACAGCAGGAAGCGGGAGCTTCAGGCTAAACCCAGAATCAACTTCAGAAGAGGACATCAACAGCAGCCTTTAATATCAGCTTTATTGTGTGTGAGGCACGGATGACAATCAGAATACCCAGACTTGGCATATTTACCTTCCAAAAGCCAAAATATCTCACACAGTGGAGAAGGTCTTTATGTGAACAAATGATTTTTGTCTGACACTCTAAGCCATGATTTATTGTCTTATTGGTGTATAGTTATTTTTACTGTGTCTTTTTTCTAGCGCGTCACCAACCCTCCTTCTGGAGATCTGCCTTTTTACAAAGCTTTGTTCATTATTTTTTTTAATCAGATGTATGGGTAATTACTTGGTCAGTTGAGCAACATTCTAGAGAGAAAAGTACTATTCATTGCTCTGTCTGTCATAGGGAAATATTTCAATGCTGATCCATGTCACTAGAGTTTAATAATTTATTCGATTCAAAGGTATTTGTACAGTGCTTTTTACAAGAGCTGCTGTCAGAAAGCAGCTTTTTAGAAATCTTAGTCCAAGCCCCAAGTGAGCAAGCCAAGTGCAACAATGTCCATATAAAAAAATACATGAACATATATTTTTATAGGCTTGAAATGCATTTCAAATACATCGCAGTCCATGCCGAAATACATTCCAAACACTAAAATGTATTTCAGAATATATTGCCATAGTAACCAAATATATTTTTAAATACATTTATTTTAAAATGTACAGGGAAATATTACACAAAAATAAAAAGAAAAAATAATGTATGTAAATAAATTTATTAAATACATTAAAAAGTGTACTCTACTGTTTAGAATCCCTTTTGAAATAAATTTGTATTGCAGCGTCTTAATTTTAAATATTAGCAAATGAACCTTTAACATGGCAAAATCAAGTGTTGTAGGTATTGATACACTGTGAATATGCAGTTATGATTTGATATCTTGTTTATTTGAAATACATTTTATGTGAGTGCTGTCTAACTGCATATGGTTAATGCCAAGTACAGTGCAGAACACAAGTCAGTACCATTTAGTTATATCTGTAATCTGTGTGTGTGTGTGTGTATATATATATATATATATATATATATATATATATATATATATATATATATATATATATCTGTGACAACAAATACAAATAAATCCATTTTAAAAAATGTTTAACAAATACATGTTTTGGCCTTTTCATACATTGCAAAAATATATTTGATAAATACATTTGGAATACATTTTTTTCCATATGGGAAGAAAAAACTAATAGAATTAAGAAAAAAAACTTTGAGAGAAATCAAGACTCAAAAAGGGATCCCATCCTCCTCTGGCTGACCCTGCATAGCAAAACAATAACACAACAAAATGAATGAGTTATGAAGATGGATGTTATGAAGATTAAGAAATGACTAATGAAAACACAATAATGAATGAACACTGCAAAATCACAGGGTAATTATGCACATCTCTCAAATTGGCCTTTTAAACTCCTCAAGTTGACAACTTGTACTAGTGAAGTTTTGACATTTCAGTATGCATTGATTCTTTGTATATTTTAATTCTTTTACCAAACTTTAAATAATTATATGTATTGGGATCCGATCATATCTATTTGTGAAACATCCGTTTTAATATTTTCAGTGAGTGCACGATGCCAAAAGCACAGGTTTTTTTTTTTTCGGTTTGTTTGCTGATCAGTGTTCAAGCTCCTGTAGTTGCAAGCTATTTTCCTTCACTTACCAACCACCCTCATTTCCTTTCATGGTTCAACATTTATTTTAGATAGCATCATACAAATGTCAATTTCAAAGAAGTTGATTAATAAAAACTAATAAAATCAGAAAGCAGTGATCGGTAAATTCTGCTTGAAATGTATCCAATTGAAAACATATTAGTTGTTTTACCATATGAACTCCTTTTTTGTTTTGTTTTTTATTTTTTTGTAAATATAAACAGTCATTCCATATTTTATGCTTGCAGCACATTCCCAAAAATTTGGGGCAGAAGCATGATTATTAATATGTTTACCTTTTCTTTTAATAATACCTAATATATGTTTGTGGAAACAAACAATTTAGTATGGGGTCATATTCTTTGTCATTTTGTGCTTTATATTGCACCATACCAATTATTAATTAATTATCAATGGGAGACAGGGTTATATTTTAGGCAGGCCATTCTAGCACTCCACTTTCTGAACCATGTTGCTGTAACACTTGCAGAATGTGTAGACATTATCTAGAAGTCAGAGTATGTCACTCCAAAATATGTATAGATCTTTCAGCTTTAATGGTGCCTTCACAGATGAACAAGTTACCCACTGAAGTGGGTACATAGGTATAGTAAACAGATTTTTAACAAATAATACCTATGTATTAGAAAAAAGTACTACATTTGGACATGACTCATATTTATATAGTTGTTGAACTCAATTAATTAAATAATAGTTCCATAGACATACCTTTTATATATTAGAAATACCTGTTTTTAGTCTCACCACCAGAAGTGCACCAGAATTTATGTTAAAATCACTAAAATTTGCTCCTAGAAAAGACCCCACTACAGGAGAAAGAGTTCTCAACTTTCATATCTGATTCAGAATGTTAATTTAAACAGTTTTTTACAGCTGTGTCCACGTTGGGTTAGGTTTCCATGAACAGCATTCTTTATCAACTTGGTAAACCCTTTCCTTTTAGACTTCTTAGTGTACTGCTTCTCTATGGTTACTGGTCTCCAGGATTCTTTGTAGCCTGAATGATCAAACAAATCTCCATTTAGCTCATGGCTGCTAAATTTAAATCACCAAGTGACCCATAAATAAATATTTGTCTTTATTTGTTATTTGTATCTAACAGTGTATGATCATATAATTATAATGATTTAGTAGACTTTTAAAAAATGTTTTTTTAAACGATAGCTGCATTTGCCAGCATGATCTGAATGATATTTAAAATCTTGTCCCGACAAAGCAGCACACTTCTTGTTTCATCTTGTGTGTTGGTGTGTTTCTAGTTGCCAGTAACAGTATTGTGGCAGAGGATGCCGAAACAATATCAGACCAGATGCAGCTACCAGTCCAGAGTGCCATGCCAGAAGAACTGAGCCCTGGGCTGGGGGGCAGAGAGGCTCCTGCTATTTGTGATGCTCTGCAGAATGTGGAACTGGTGCCAGAACCGACAATTGAGAGTGACCTGATCCAGACTACCGAGGGTCCAGAGAGTACTGCACTAGAGAAGCCACCAGCTCCCACCGAGCCTCCAGTCCTACAAAACAAGAGCAGTCCTGCAGAGATGGTTATGGCACAGGAAGCCACTGTGACCAGTGCTGCTGTGGAAGAGACAAGTCCTGCAGAAAATGTTGACACAGATTCTCGTTCCCTAGTAGAGTCACCGCCTGCTGAGGAGCCAGTGGTTTCTGCAGCTCCAGTAGAAACAGCTTCTGAAGTTTCAGAAGCTGCACAGGTGCCAGAGGCCGCACACGCTCCAGAAGAAATGACTGCAGAACCTACCATTGTTCCCGCTCCTGCTGTAGAACCCTCTCCAGCTCCTGAGCCTGAACCAGCTTCAGAACCCACACCAGATGCAGAACTTGCCACAGCTACAGAGCCAGCACCAGTTGCAGAAGCCACCTCAGTTCCAGAACCTACATCAGTTGTAGAACCAACTGCAGCTCCGGAACCCACACCTGCTGCAGAAGCTGCCCCAGCTGCAGAACCTCTCTTGGTTCAATCAACTCCAGCCCCTGAGCCCACCCCACAAGAAAACCCTGTAGCAGCAGAAGCAGATCCCACTGCAGTAGAGGAGCCTGCAGCAGCAGCACTTCAGTCGCCCGGTGGTCCAGAGCCAATTCACGTGGAGGCAGCGGCAGCTGCAGCAGCAGCAGCAGTAGTTCTGCAGGCAGCACAAGAGAGTGCAGCCCTTGCAGCAACAAGTGCAGATGCAAACACCCCTGTCCAGCCTACCATGCAGGCCCCAGAGGCCCCTGAGGGTAAGATGGGTTATTCATTAAATTTGTTTAAAATTGATTAAACATGTGGAATTCAGTGTGCTTCTGCTTTGTTGGAACAAAAATCTGCAATCTCACCTGCCCTTGAGAACCCTGATTCTGTCACTTTTTCTTTATTGTATATTTCATATTGTTTGCATTGATTTTTTTAGTATAAACCCCTTCATGACTTAGAGCAGCGTAGGTATTACATTCTGCAGTGATATGGCCCTCTAAGACAACGCTTGCTGGCAAACAAAATAATTGTAAAAAAACTGGTTCTCAACCTTCTGTATTCTCAAAACGCTGAATTCCCTGATGTGTGGATATCTCTGTTAAGTAAGAGGTAGATATTCGTTAAATACACCACCACATCATGGACCACACTGATCTCCTATGCTGCTCTGGATTGGGATTGGGCTGTGCCTGTGCATAGTGGAATGAAGCTGGTATTTGTATGCTTTCACAATAAAGATCATCTCAGGGGGAAAAAATGATGATATATGTGCTCTGTATGAAAGTAGATCTCCTTGAGCAGGCTTTGGCACCTGGGGGTTAGACATGGTGTACCATATAGTAACATGTAATGCAGGCTTAATTCCTTTTCTTTTTCAGGAGGAACTGTACATATATCGACATGCAGCCCTGTTCGTGAACACAGTGGATATTGTTTTAATGCTGAACATTCTTTGTAATGTAGTAGAGAGGACAAGAAGCCATAGTACTGCATGCTGCCACCCAGAGTGTCATTCTCTTTAAGAATTCTTGCGTACAACAGCTGCTTACATACATCCACACAGACTTTCACACATCATGGACCATCACATTCTTTCATTCCATTGCCTCTGCTTATATTAACTTTGTGTGTGTGTGTTGGGGGGGGGGCAGTGTAAATGCCAGCTTTCTGACTGACAGAGCCACAGTTCAAACATTATTATATTATACCGCAATATTTTATTATTAGGCAGTTTTTAGTGTGAAGTCATCAGGCCAATGCTTGTACACTACAAGTATGACTCAATTTCCTAATAATTTACTAATAATTTATTATTAAGTGCTATATTATTCTTGGAAATGAGACATCACAGCAGTCAGAGACCACCCTTTCATTCAGTTGATTTCTAGTCAAAACAGCCATTAAGTGCAAGTTTATTTTCTTTTTCGGTGTCAGGGAAAAAAGCAGGAACATATAAATGATAGAAAATTCACAGAAACCTCAATAGCTTAAAACAATAGAAACATTTTCTATATTTAATATTTACACAGCCTTTCAGTCCCATAGCGCTGAGTGGGCTGCTCAGAGTGGAAGGATGGACAAAAACACCTATGGATGTTTTATGATCTGAAGTGAGAGCGGAGCTTGTTTTTTTCCTATCTCTCAAAGACAAAAATTTTAAGTTTATCTATGTTGACAGTTTTGCTGGGCGGACATAGCTGCAACTTGTTGATTTTTATATTGGATAAATGGAACAGTTAAAATGGCAGTATGTTGCACAAAAGTAAGGTATGAAATTAAATAATGATAGATTTGTGTATGTGTGTGTGTATATATATATATATATATATATATATACATGCCCTATTTTTATGACACTGAAAAACAAATTACTTGCACTTGATGGCCATTTCGAGTGGAAATTGAATAAACTAAAGGGTGACTTTTACACAGCACTGCTAACAGCTCTAATGTTAAAGGAGTAATGCTGTGGAGTTGCTCTGCATCTGTTATGTTGTTATGCTCTCAGGCACAGAGAACACACTGTACTTTTAGATTACGGCCCCTTTTCATTCTCCCTATCTCTCTCTCTCTCTCTCTCTCTCTCTCTCTCTCTCTCTCTCTCTCTCTCTCTCTCACACACACACACACACACACACACACACACACACACACACACACACACTAGTCTCTTTTTTCTCACATATAGGTCCTACTCTCATAATGCTCAGAGTCTGAGGAGTATTTGGGCATTGTTAATGTTACTGAAGCTTTTCTGACTACTGTCTGTTTACAGCCCCTCCTCCCCCTCAAAGGACATGTGTTTGGTATGCACTGATTTCCTGTGTGTGTGTGTGTGTGTGTGTGTGTGCATGCATGTTTTGTAGGTGGTGTGGGGGAGGGTGCAGTCTCGCAGGCTGAGACTGTTGAGGCCAAACTAGCAGTGACTCTGACTGAAGCTGACTTGGCTGGTAAAAATGCAAAACATAACAATGTGGCCGACATCTCACACTAAGCTCTCAAACTCAATAACGTCTCACTTTACCTAGTTTTTAACCTTTATTTAAGAGAAAAGCTAAAAACTGTCACCAAATCACTGTGCTACAGTGTTGGATGTATGAACCCTGACCCACCCATGTGCTCTTCTGTTGTGTGTATTTTAGCTGCCACTGAGGAATGAGGGAACACACACCTTTGACTCTGCTGAGAGGCAAAGACTGGCAGAATGGAACATTCCATAGAGCTCACAAATTGTGATCAACACACAGACACACACACACACACACACACACACACACACACACACACACACATATATATATATATATATATATATATATATATATATATATATATATATATATATATATATGCACACACACACTCACGTATTACCATGTATCAACACTTTGGATAGTAGTGCGGAAATAGTTAGCTTTCAAACCATGGTGCCTTTATTACTGTGAGATTGGAGGGGTGGTGGATTATGCACACAAAAACGTTTCCTTTTAGTTTTATGTTTTGTTGATAGAAAAGCCAGTCTCCTGGACCAGCAGTACAGTGGAGGCTAAACGTAGCCACAATGTTGAAATAATTAGGACACATCTGTGGCAGAATGCAAGACACCCTCTGTACAGCAGCACATTCTCCTGTCTCAGTCTCATCAAACTGACAGAGTATTTCTTCAGAGTGTAATGTGAGCAAAAGTGACATAAAGCAACACTTCTTATAACGCATGCCAAAAAGATTAATAACTGTGAATGAGAAATGTGCTGTAACCAAAAAAAAGCCTTGCTGAATGGGATAGTATGGTGTAAATGTGATTATCTAGCTATTATTTCTTGCCCGTCTGGTTTTTCCTTTACTCTTTTGTTTTCATTGCCTGTGAGTCTGAACAAGCAGGTCTCATCTCCTTTCTCTTGGGGCATCAATGCATTTGTGCAAATGGAAGACCAAAAAGCATTTAAAAATTATGAAAGGATTGAGCTGCTTGAAAGAATTTGGTTGAATCTGTCAGTATAGCACAATATTCCTTGAAGGACAAGGTTTATTACACATGGATGAAGATCATTAGATCATCATAGATGCCATTACAGACATCTGCTGCGGTGTCCATTGATAAGATATATTCTGTGCTAATATTTTATTGCTAGACTTAACACAGCTGAATGTGTGTCTACTGATACACTACCTGATGCCTCCTCTCATATCAGTCAAACCTCTGCTGTGAAAATGTGAATTGCTTTACTGGTACTATCCTCCTCTTAGTGCTGAACTCAGTGATACAGTTTCTCCTGTTTGCTTAACCCTTGTACTCTGTGAGAATTACACTAATGGTTTTATTGGGAAAGTGGCTTCTAATAAATTCTTAAACTGTAGCAGGCCCTCTTTGACCAACCTGTAATGCAGTTATGTGGATTTTTTTTCTTTTTCCAATTTCCTTGTGTACAGAACAAATAAAGTTATTTAACTAATGAATAAAAGGTTTATTTTTATTTTATACCTTTATTCAGTACTTTTGTAGAAACATGACTGAATATCTGCTTCATACACAAATGCACGTGATCAAGCTGAAAATAGACCTAATGAGATTTAAAGCATATCTGTGTTTTGTGTGTACACACATGCTCACACAGTGCTCATTAAAAGTTCATGAGAGACAGGAAAGTACAACTCTGAAAACCAGTATATATGACGTCAACCCCCCATGATAACACACAAGCCATAACTTATCATGCTCCACTAAAATAAAAGGCATAAAAATAATGAAAATACCAAAACTATTTGCAAAAGACATTCCTGAATGATCACTGCATGTCTCAAATGACTGACTACGAGTGTTAGTCATCCCTGCAAATATCAAAAAGGATGTTTTCTGTCAAGCCTGTACCAAATACAATTCCAGATGTTTAGTAGTAATTAGCCCTTGCTCAAATAACCTCAGTTTACTGTCAGTTTATGTCGATATATTAGTATGATGAACACACTCAGAACTGCAGTAACTGCTTCTTTCTGCGTAAGAGAGAAGTGCATCAAGACTTTCCCACATTGCTCATGCTTCATGGTGTGGATTGATTGTATTGATCAAGAGAGATCTGAGGTGACATTTTGGTTACGGTATGTTTCTTCCTGCAGTGATTCCTTCAAACAAGCTCAAATCATTTTGCTTAATAAAGCACTAAAGCTAGTGGTAGTACCACAAGTAGGATGATTTTCTGTTTCATCTGGTTGGAATTGTTATTTTCAGCATTGTTGTTAAGCAGTTGAAGAAGAGAATGACTGTTGTCTTGATCCAAAGCAGGGAGGGTTAGGAAAAAAACTCTTTGCAAGACTAGTGGTGTGAACTAAGCAAGTCAGGGAATCCAAGGCTGAATCAATTATTTTAACACCAAGCCCCATTCGTCAGAAAGAAGTTAAAGTGTTTCTGAAAGAGCAAGCTTAGGTCTACATATTTTGACAAGCTTGTTTAGTTGTCACAGTCCATCAATTAGATTGTACTGCAAAATGAATATACAGCGATAATAAGGTTTTTTCAGAGGCTGCTCGCCACTAATAGTAACGATTAGTGATGTTGTTACAAAATTAGATATTAATTATTTATTACTTATTCATACGTCAGCAAGGAATACAAAATTTAAAACGATAATTTCCAGTCTATTTCCATGCCTGTGTCTCCTAGAAGTGTCATTTGTCGCAACTGAGTTTCTTTCTAGTTACATTGCGGTTAGATGCAGTTCGACTGCCATCTCCTGGTTGGACTTATGTAGTGCAGCAAAAAATATTTTGATCTTCTGAACGGGACAATGTAAATTAAAATATAGATCACTAAAAATAATTTAGCCTTTGAAACACCAATGACTTTCGATTAGCTGGGCCACAAACTGACCAGAACAACCTCTGTTTGATGTCCCATAGCCACTGTACTACTTTACCCAGAAGCACTTTGAACCCGGAAGTGCTAGTACATGGGTTTTAGCTGCGGCATGGTGTAGAAGTAGTGAGCACGTTAAGTGGAGTTCGTTTTGGAGACTGAACTGTCTGAAAAAAATTTGTCCGTGACCGAGCCAGCTTTAAAAGTAAGAACTGTACATTCATGTTATTCATAAACGATTTTAATTATGGAAGATAATTAATTAATATATTTGTAATCAAATAAGGTTAGAATGTGTTGTCGTTTGTTACTTGCGACATATTACCACGCGATTTCGGGATATGCTCTATCTGACAAAGAATTGTACGTGTGAATTTTAAACGCATTTTGCCTCGTAACGATGATTATACAATATTGTTTTTTTTCTGTGGAGATGTCTGGGGCCAAGGACAGGATGCGCCACAAGAAAATGAAAAACCAGCCAAGCAACGTGACGTTCTCCTCTGCGCAACAATGTCGCAACGACAGAGGCGCAGGAGGTTGGCACAAGACTGAAAATAAAGCACCTTTTATTGGTTGTGTATAGATCAGTTGCATTTGTGTGGTACCTTCTGCTTTGTTAGGCCGTGCTCCAACAGATCTCTTCATCTTCAGGTCGCAGTTACAACAGTCTGCAGCACATGAGGGGACCGTCACAGCACAGCAGACCACAACAAGGTGGCTATAGCGGCTGGGTGAGGGGGCGTCAGGATGGGGGAGTCCCTGTCGACCAGGCCCTGCCCAAGTACATTACCGGTGAGAATCCTGGTGGAACACGAAAACGAAAAGTATAATGGGCCTCTGTAATAACCTCTCTCCTTACTCTGCACCGACGCTCTTCCATTCATTTATGCTGCAGCGTCTCTTTTTGCCAATGCAAGAGTTGCAGAAGTCGACGCCATGCTGAGGGCTGTTACCAAGACGACAGGCAGTTGTCATGTGTTTGGAGCTCTCCCGAAGCATATGCGGCGACGAGCCATGAGCCATAACACCAAGAGGCTGCCCTGCAGATTGAGAGAGGCGGCACACAGGATGGTATGAACCGTTGCCTTGCTCTCCACAATGCCGCAACCTCGAATGTCTTTAGCTTTATGGCTTAACATACTAAGACTGCGAAGCTTTAAACGTTGATGACTCACCAACCCAATATTCTCCAGTGGACAACAGCGTTACGATATCTGCATCTGGTGCATAGTGCACAGCCGAATGCAAGCAATCGAACCCTCAATCCGTCAAATAGGCTGTGTGACTAGTTCTACAAAACTAAAGCTGAGATTGTACAATATATCATTTATTTTATAATAGACAGATCAAAGCTTGATGTTCCCACCTATTTGAAGTTTACCCTGCAAATGATTTTCTTTTAACCCGAACAATCTGAGGAATGGTTTCTGTGTGAAATATATTTTATTTGCATACATTTACTTATTCCCTCTTCGCTGAATGTGAATATGAGTGTGGCTTTCCAGGAGCTGGACTAAGAAACACTGGCCCAGAATAACACCAGCAAACAGTCATCAACACGCTTTTATTTATTTATTTATTTTTAAAATTATAGTTGTTTATTGTTGGAGGGTACTGCCGGCTGATTTTATTTTGCCTCAAATAAGAAATAAACACAGAAATAAAATTTTTAAAGAAAATATAGTGGTGTTGCTGAATGCATGTGCAGTACATACTGGAGTGGGGTTGTAAATGGGCACACCAAGTCACCACTTAAGTCCATCTGTGTTTGTTGAGTTGGTAAGTTTTAGGAACTTAAAAGGACATCTCAGATCCTAATAGCTGATGTGCGTGTGTGTATAGCTAAAAACACTGTACTGCAGCACAGTGTGTTTTTTTTTTTTGTGTGTTGTCCAGTTGGAGAAGAGTCAGCAGGCAGGCCAGAAAGAAAAGAAAGAGCAATCAAAAACCAAAAGTCGTCGTGCCCGCCGTCGTCATGGCAATTTGCTGCTGGAGTTTAACCGACGACAGAAGAAGAACAAGTGGTTGGAAACTCACATCTGGCATGCCAAGCGTTTCCACATGATAAAGAGATGGGGCTACTGCCTTGGAGACCGACCCACATACAAGTGCTACAGAGCGAGCTACAGGGCTATGAGCACAGGCTGTCTGCTGCAGGTCAGCCTGCAATATGGACCCAACAACAATCCCTGATCCACAGAGAAAAGAAAATAGTCCACATATACTTTCTGGTGTCATTGTGCTGCTGTATATCTAATTATTTTTCTTTATTTTTTCAGGACTTGTCATACTACTGCTGCATCGAGCTCCAGGGTCCAGAGGAGCAGCTACTGAGTGCGCTTTCCAGGCTCACAAGCAAAGACACGGGTATGTTCCAAAGTTCCATATAAACAGTAAAACAAAATGAACTCGATTAAAAAAAAACAAACTCATATCCACGTAGGCTGAAGTCAAATAATGTATCAAGAGTGGATTATTGTGAGGAAAAATATGTGTATTAAAAATACTTGAGGAAAGTGCAGCTGGATTAACTCCATCCAAATATACCTAAATCTGGAAATTCTGGTAGTCTTTCAGCAGAATGTGTGTGTCAATGCAGGTCCAACGTTTGCAGCAGTGCTATGTGTATCAGGGCAGAGAGAGGGCAGTATCTTGCTCTACAGGCCTGACCAGTACCCTCACCAGCCCCTGGGCCCTGTGCACTTTCTGTGGAGACCGCGTACTGCTAAATCAACTTACAGACAGCTGTGGATCTGGGCACATCCCACATTAAAGCAGGTGAGTTTGCCATACTGAGACAGGTGAATGTGTACTCAAATATAAACCGGCCTTACATGGTATCTTACGTAGTCTGTTTATGGCCAGTCTTGATTTGAAAGGTGATTGTGTATGATTGTGTATGTTAGGACCTTCTACCAGAGTTGCAGTCAGTGTGCCAGTGCTTTGAGGAACCAGGCTCTGCTGACCACCCGACTACACCTACCCTTTCAGACCCTAGCACTAAGCTACAGAATCCCAGGAAGAGAAAGCAAGAAGGTGATGGTTATGATAATTATCCTGCCAAAAAGATCCTGGGTGATGGCACTCGATCTCTCATGACTCCTGTTAGCTGGAAGTCCTCCAAGACTGACATTGTGATTATGTAAGCAGCTTTATTGGATCAAATATATTTACTAAAATACAGACATTCTCAGTACCCCTCAGCATACTTAAATTATATCTATGGGTTTCCTTCACAGCGATCTCTCTATGGAAGTAGTACGCTACCGTCTGATTGGTCCACTCTCTCACACTGTGCTTACTGAGACACTTCTGCCAGCTACTAAATGTGAGGTGAGACACATATGGTTTCTGGCAACTGATACCAGTTCTTTTAACGATATTGAGCTGATACTAACCCTGTCGGTGTACAGCTAATGCCATAAAAATGACGACAGGGGTCTTACAGTGCTATGTGAATAAGAAAAGTCATGTGCTGTTAGAATTTGATTGTGCTGGTGCAGGGCCCAATGTTCTGATGTTAATGAATTGACACAGTATTTTAATGTTATTGTAATTCATGTTTGCATTATTGTTAATTTTTTATTTATAGGTGGATACAAAAGTGACATCTCCTTTCTGGTGGCCAGAGCAGTGTAAGAACAAGGAGAGTATGTCTTTACACCAGCAGCAAGCCGATGTCTTCCGGTTATTAAAAGGTAAACATCTCACTCTCACAACTGCAGACATGCAGCTAGCCATATTTGTAAGGCAGTCAGTTTTTTGTTAATTTGTTTCAGAATACTTTATATTAGTCAGAAATCATACATCATCTAAACCGCTTATCCTTCTGGGTCACAGTGGAAATCAAAATAGATATTTTTTTGTCATGTTGGCTTGTTAGTTCATGTCCCTGTAATAATTCATCATACTTACATACTATCACATCTTTCATCAACGTATAGTGACTTTTGCCTGCCTTTTAAATGTGCCCTGAATGTTAAACACATCACTTTGCAATAATAAGAGAAATTATATTAACCGATATCTAGTCTAACTGATCACTGTAAACATCTTATCATCTTATTATTTCAAGGTCAAGTCACAAAAATCTAACCATTTAAAATAGTTATTTGCCTATGAAGCTGGCATGCAATGTCACACTTTTTTGAATACGTTTTTTTGAATGAGTGCTTTGTAGAGAAGCACATGGCACGTTTCATGTTTGAAAAGAATTTTATCTCCTTAAACAAACAACTTGGCCTGCAATATGCTCATTCGACTTTTATAACTGGTATGTAGAGCACTTAGTTCCATTAATAAAACACAGGAGCACTAGAAAGTGAGAATTTGATATGTGTCGTGTTTTTCAATGACACTTTTCCATTTTAGCATGACTTTTCTTTTTAGAAATAGTATCAATAGTGGATCAGTCATGTCTGGCTGATACTGGAACCATTTCACAAGGTCAGTATCAGTGCTGATACTGATCCAGTGGTGTAGTTCTAAAAAAAACTTGAGTATACTGTGAAGATACACCACCTCCCCCACGCCTAGCCTGTGTGTGTGCCAAGCAGCTGCTTCATTAGGTATGCATACTTTGTATCTACACTTTTTGTCCATTTTATCAGGCCTCCTTACTGTATATGTGCACCTTGCAGTTCTCTAACTACAGACTTTATTCTGTAGTTATTCTTTCATCTGTTTCTCTGCATAATTTGGCAATCACCAGTACAAGTTTTATTGAGATCAAATAGTCCAAGTATGTGTAATCTTTTTCAAAGTGGCCTAAAGGATTTACTTTGTAAAAATTTGCACAATGACTAATTTTAAGGCATTTTATGTGAGCACTTCCCCTTAATGTAAACAAGACATGTATCCATGGGAAATAAAATACTCATCATAATTTAACTGCAGGGTGCAAACGTTACAATCTGGATAAACGTTCAACTCCTTCTGTAAGGAGAATTGTGCAGCATACAAGCAAAAGTAAAACATAGCATATTTCAACAGCTTTGCCTATTGTTCCTTTTTAATTTTTAAACATCTTAAGAATTACAATTACAAATCAATTTCACTGAAATCGCATTTCATAGAAGCACCCGAAAACCAATCATATGCAGTCCATGCTTTCACTGTGTCATTTGGCCTAGTAGTATAGACCACTACACGTGCACATTGAGGGCGCATGCAGTGTACTAGTATAGGCGTACATGGTCACCACATCACAAATTAAGCTAGCACATCTGCCTAAAAATACATGCCTGAACACATGGACTCTCAAGACTTGATTTTTTTTTTTGCAAAGTGAGAGACATAAATAAATAAATAAATGTCAGCTCACACATCCTTAAAACAACAATTAAGATATCATAGACATTATATATCACAGATCTCGACTCAGGACCTCCACAGAACAGTATTATTAGGGTGGTGGATCATTCATAGCACTACAGTGACCCTGAAATGTTCTTGGCATGTTAATGAGTCATCCTCTAGTCCAGTGGTCTCCAACCCTGTTCCTGGAGAGCTACCTTCTTGCAGAGCCTAGTTCCAACCGTAATTTGCCACACCTGTTCCTTCTAATCAACCTCCTGCCAAGTCTCTGATTGGCTGGATTAGATGTATTAGAATTAAGGGGCAGGGCAGTTTATCATGTACATGTTGTAACTGAACTCTACAGGAAGGTAGCTCTCAAGAACAAGCATTTCAGTCCACTGTTCTAGTTCATCATCAGTGGTTACAGGATGCTGCCCATAAGACGATGCCCACAGGGTTTGTGGGCTATTCCCAGTCCAGCAATTACATTGATATGTTTAAAAATTCCAGTGGCACTGCTGTGTCTAATCCACTCCTACCAGTGCAACACACACTAACATGCCACCATTTTCGAGACTGGACGCTGAATCTCGGCTCCAAAGTGTGCAGCATAGCACGAAAGCCCTGGTTCTCAACGACCGAGAACAGACAGCAGGTCACATAGCACCAAGGTCTGGCCTCGCCAGTAGCGAACGAAAAAAACAGAGATTAAGACGAACATTTGGAGGACTTATTCGCATTTATAAGCAGCGTGGTTGGTTAAATCTGCAACGAGAGTTAAAAAAAAAGTTGCGAAAATGAACTCGCTTCTCTTTCGAATTTTCCCGTTCCACCTTAAATGGTGCAGCAGTTACATTCGGCGCCTGAGGCAGAATTTAAGGTAAAACGGGAAAATTAGAACGAGAAGCTGGCGAATGAGAAGCGACTTCAGCCTCGTGAAACAGCCGGATGCTGACACATTTTACAAGAAACTCTTCTAGTTTTGAAGAAAGGTTTTCTGGCGGAGATGGAAGGAAAGCGGCTGTAGCTAAAGCTTAAAGTAGAGCAAAGTAAATCTGCGCTCTCGTTTATATTTTTAGCCCATACTACGACATTAACACATACTGGACATTAAATGTTGTGGCTCCCAAGGTGGTTTGACTTTGTTGAAAGGCAAAATGTCTCTTCTTAACAATTGGGTTGTGACTCCTGATCTAACCTGGCTTTTAACGCAGAGGGAGCCGATTGGATTTCTCACTCATCCACTTGTGTTTTTGTTATGTTCCGCCACAGACTGTCTGGGTGCTGCACTTCCGCACTTCTAGTTCCGCCTTTTGCGTTCCGTCAACATTACGTTATAAATTAAATATTTAGAAAATCGATTTTTGACATTTGTGAATCGATTCAGAATCCTTCATGTCCGCATCGCGATGCATCTAAGAATCGAGTTTTTCCCGCACCCCTAGTTGACGTGTGTACAGTGGATAAATGTATATATTTGTTATGTGATATATGTGAGTATTTATTTATAGAGCTACTTTTGAAATTGTGACGTCTGTGACAGCCTTCTTGTGGATAGAAGTTGTGAGTGTTTATTGCTTTGGCTTCATTTTTCTGTTTGTTTTTTACAAGAGTAGTTGTTAAATTGCTGCTAACCTACTGCTGAAACTTTGGTAGTTTCGCAGAGCTGACTTCGGCAAACCTTACCCGAGGATAGCTAACGTGCGTATGACGCTAATGGAAAATAACATCTTAGTAGACATTAGTGTGTCTGTAGCAACTCAGTACAATTTGTTTTTCAGAATCAATGAGTCACAGGAGTTTTTAGGAGTTGTCAATCACAATCCGTCTATTTTTACCTGAAATCAAATCGGCTTGTCTGTGACTGACAGGTGGTTAAAGACTCAGACACCTTTTGTATTCAATTGTGGTATCCATAGAAACAGACTAAAATGGAACAATCAGAATTGTTTAATGTTCATCATATGAACTTGACCAGTCAGATTGTGATGTACATTTCCAAAGTAATGTTTTGCTTCCCCTGACCTGTGAAGCAACTTTGAATGCAATGGAATTAGTAGGTGTATACAATAACTCATAACTTGGCAGTCAGTATATGTAAACAGCCCAGTGAAAAAGTCAGTATGCAGCTTATATGTGTGTATACACTGACTACACTGCTGAGTAAATCAGATTAGTTCATCGCTAGTTACATTATTGAAGGAAAATGCATTATGATTTCCGATCGACTTTCATAATGAAGAGTATAAAAAATGGCCATTAAAGTTCTAGTTGCTAAAGAAATAGCTCCAAACTGTTATTTTAAAGCTCGGCGTGTAAGATCTGTATTATGTTTTGTCTATGTAAGGTCTGCACTCCACGTCAGAGCTGCCAGCAGGGTGTGTCTTGGGGCTTACAGTGGATGACCCAAGACTGACTCTGCCTAAAAAAAGGGGGAAAGCTGCTTCTGACCTGCAGGGGGCACAAGGTAAGTTCTCCCACACAGACACACACACAAATATACCGATAGTGTAACATAGGATGAATTAGTGTTAGACCACTTCAGATAATCCAAAATAAAAGCATTTAGTGTGCTGTGCAGTGAAACTACAGTGTGTGCATCTCTGAGCTGGGTGGGGAGCACGTGGTGTGTCTGGCCCTGAGCTCCTGGGGAGCCTCTGCTTCTCCATGCAGATGAACCAGGTTCGAATCCTGGCAGGGCCCTTATCTTCCTCTCTCCTCCCCTTTCTCTATCTCACTCCGAGCAGAACACATCAATCCATTCTACCAGTTCCACTCCACTTTCTTTCCTCTACGATCTCCTTATCTTTTGTACGCTAGAGTAAGACACTGCATTCAGTGGTTTGAAATAGTTTGGAAAGTGTAATTACTTGCCTCTATCCTAACCATGGATTTAGAATGCTGGCTGGTCATGTATGTGCATGTGTGTTGTAGGTGTTGAGGAGGAGAGAAGGAGAGAACTGACTCTGAGAGGAATTCCTGCCCCCTGTGCTCATAGTGCTCTATGGGTCCACTCTGTCAGAGACAATGTGACAAACAACAAGGTTTCGGAGCAGGTGATGTAATGTCTCTTTCTCTTACTCAGTCATACGCTCATGCACACCTGCACAGAAAAGAAGATCTCAGAGTAGGTGTAGTTTTGTTGAAAACATCCTGTCAGAAATTTTACTCAGGGAGTAGAGAGATCGGTTAGTCATTTACAAGACTAAAGGGTGTCAGAAATTCCCCATCTTACTATAGCACTAATTTTGTTATAGTACCAATTGGTTATGGTGGGTTTTGAAGTGGTGCAGCATTGGGCAGATGAATAACTTATGTACTCCTGTCTTAGAGTGGACACAAATAAATGTATTTGTGTGTTTCAGGATCTGAACAGAATGAAGAAGGAGTTGTTGGTTCCAGGCTCCAGGTTGCCGACCCCTCCAGAGGGCCGAGTGCCCATTCTACTGGTTCACCAGGCAGGGAAACAGCAGGGGGAGGAACGGCACGACTGGGGCTGTGGATGGGATCTAGTACTGCCCAAGGGTTGGGGCATGGCCTTCTGGATACCTCTGGTGAGAAACAGGCTTTCTGTGACTATACATGATTGGCAGCATTGTGTAGCTATCAGCCTGTTTTTGTGGTTTTGTCTTTGTGTGTGCCAAAATATTACAGCAGTATAGAAATTTTACACAACCAAAAATGTTGTGGCATTTGCAAAAATTTGAACACCCAATTATAAAATCTCAGAACTTAATGAACTCATTAGGCCTTAATTGACTAAATTGATTAGTACTGAATAGGCAGGTCACGATTTGTCATAAGGAATTGACTGAAGAGTGTAAAATTCTCTGAATTTTCAAACCATGTGCTAACACTTAACAACCATGGCTCCTTTAAGCAGCTGACTGAGGATCTGAAAATGAAGCTAATTGATGCAAAGCTGAGGAAGGCTATAAAAAAAGATATCAAAGGACTTCCATCTCAGAATTTCTGCTGTCTGAAATGTGATTAAGAAATGGTAGTTTAGAGGAACTGTGGAAGATGAGGCAAGATCTAGAAGACCAAAAATTATAGATAAAACTGCTCATATGCTGACCAGTCAAAACAAGACCCTTACCTGACTGCAAAGGACTTCATTATTTTAAAATGTTGTTTTTTTTTTTGTGTGTTTTTTTTAATAACGACAAATGACAGTAAGAGGGTTAACAGAGAGGAAAAAAGGAACAGGGACATTGAGTGATCATGGAGGAGCTGCTTGTTTAATATTGGTAAATGTGCGTGGGCCAAAACTTAAAGGCACTCTGGTCACAATTTTTACATCAGTATGCCAATTCGAAGCAAAATGCTTCTCCAGTTCTTCCTAAAGAATGAAATGATGTCTGCATTTCCAAACCGCATATTCATCTACAGACCTGGGTTTTGCTATGCTTCTTGTAGGATTTGGGAATTGAAACAGTTTTTCATAGCTGAAACTCATTATGAACATGCCCACTTGACAAAAAGACATGAAATTCTGTATAGGACTTACATTAAGTGTGAGATGCTCCACGTTTTTGAAATTTCTTTACAGAGTATGCCGGATGTGAATTAGTAATGAAAGGTTAATTGACTGTATGTTTGTGTGTGTGATAGGTGTACCGTGGTGTGCGTGTTGGGGGTCTCCAAATGAGTTTGAAACACTCCCAAAATAAAGGTATGCCCCACTTCCCCAATGATTTCCCAGATTGCCCTGCAGGCACTCACTTCCAGGAGCAGCAGGAAATTGAGCTGCTGGAAAAGTTTAAGAGGTGAAAAACAACTTCTTTCCTTCCTTCCTTCCTTCCTTCCCTCACATGATCTTTTCACCACTAAAATGCACAAATTAAAAACCTGCAAATTTCTGATACCTTGTTTTATTACTGACTATGCTGCCAGATGTGGTGGACCTTCATCATCCATCCATTTATTTATTTGTTTATGTTTACCTAGGAGCTGCATATGTTGAGCAGTTTAATAACAAATCTTTATATAAATGTACAAATACCGCCACTTCCAAGCTTGCCAGGTGTTAGGTCAAACCCAAAATACTTGAGTATGAGGGTCCTGTCATTGTTTTTACTAGCACATGACAGTGATGCTTCTGGTGTGTAATTTATGTGCAGGCGTCCTCCCTCCAAACGCACAAATTACGTCAAACATGGCTGCCTGGCTCCTTTCCGGTGCCCATGGCAACAGCTGGCAGAGGAATGGGAGGAGACAGTGAAACATGATGGAGAAAACAGCAAGCCCCAGCCAGCCAAAATGGAGGGAGTGATATCACCTGCAGGAGAGAGCACACCCCCAAAATCTGCTTTCACTGTGTTGAGGTACTGTAGTTGTTGAAGTTTTATTGTGAACATGTACCAATAAGTGTGATGAACCCCTGTTAGTTTTTAATATATCACTATCATGATACACTATATTGCCAAAAGTATTTGCTCGTCTGCCTTCACACGCATATGAACTTGAGTGACATCCCATTCTTAATCCATGGGGTTTAATATGATGTTGGCCCATCCTTTGCAGCTATAACAGCTTCAACTCTTCTGGGGAGGCTTTCCACAAGGTTTAGGAGTGTGTTTATAGGAATTTTTGACCATTCTTCCAGAAGCACATTTGTGAGGTCAGACACTGATGTGGGACGAGAAGGCCTGGCTCACAGTCTCCGCTCTAATTCATCCCAAAGGTGTTCTGTTGGGTTGAGGTCAGGACTCTGTGTGCAGGCCAGTCAAGTTCTTCCACACCAAACTCGCTCATCCATGTCTTTATGGACCTTGCTTTGTGCACTGGTGTGCAGTCATGTTGGAACAGGAAGGGGCCATCCCCATACTGTTCCCACAAAGTTGGGAGCATGAAATTTTCCTAAATCTCTTGGTATGCTGAAGCATTAACAGTTCCTTTCACTGGAACTAAGGAGCCGAGCCCAACTCCTGAAAAACAACCCCACAGCATAATCCCCCCCTCCACTGTCGTTCCCAACCGCTTCCACTTTGTTATAATACCACTGACAGTTGACTGTGGAATATTTAGTAACGAAGAAATTTCACAACTGGACTTGTGGCACAGGTGGCATCATATCACGGTACCACACTGGAATTCACTGAGCTCCTGAGAGCAACCCATTCTTTCACAAATGTTTGTAGAAGCAGTCTGCATGCCAAGGTGCTTGGTTTTATACACCTTTGGCCATGGAAGTGTTTGGAACACCTGAATTCAATGATTTGGACGGGTGAGTGAATACTTTCGGCAATATAGTGTATCTTTATTGTATCACATAGTGATATAATGATATTTTGTCTACATTGTGTAGCCCTGAGGAAAGCGCCTATGAAGATAATGGCAGTGTCCGTTGTCTCTGCAGGAGCCGTAAGGTGCTGAGGCAGTTGTCAATCTGGTGTCGGCCATCTTCTGCCCACACTCAGAGAGTGACACATGGTTTCCCCACCAAGGTGCTAAACTCTACAGTTGCCATGGAACTGCAGGAACAGTGGGGGCGGTTTCTGGTGTGGGTGCGCGTGTGTATGCTTGGCAAAGGGCTGCCCACTCTGCACGCCATGCTGTGTGTCCCCACTGCAGAAGACCTGCAGCAGCTGCGTGGAGACCCCCAGTGCAGTGGCCCCAAAGAACCCAGACACAAAGACCACACCCATCACCTACTGAAGAAAAGCAAGAGGCGCAGAAACTACACCGCAGTGCCTTGCCCATAGAAAGGAACAAGACTGCTCCCCTGCTGCTGTAAAAGAGGACTCAAGCCCCACTCCTAAGAAAGAACAAGACTCTGGCATCAACTTCAAAGAAGAACAGCTATCTTGGCCCACCCCTCCACTTAAAGACACTCATCCTGTCACCAGCACCACAGTTGATAAAGATCCTGCTTTCACCCTTGCTGGTGAGTCAAGTACTGTGATTGGGAGTGGTGACTTATCTGGGGGTCTAGAGCGAGGATTGTGGCCAGAGCCGCTGCCCAGTGTATCATCCCACTGCTCACGGGTGACTCTGGGGTGGGTGACACAGGGAGATTTTTCAATGGCAACAGGTCGTGGGGAGGCTCTGGGTTTTGTGAGCCTGGTGGGGCTCCTGCACATGCTCCTCAGCCAGCCGGCGGATAAACGCGGCACTGTCCTTCTACGCAATCCCTCTTCCCTCCAGTACCGGTTTGCACGGCTTCATGTAGAAGCCTGAAGCGCTGGAAGGTCACTGCATGTACATCTTTGCCAAGAACTTAAACTACCGTACTGCCAAAAAAAAAAAATTCAGAAAGCATCTTTGGAACATAAACTGGATTCCACCCCCCCAAACCTAGAGAATACTATGCAAAAGTCTTAGGCAGTCAATAAAATAGTTTAAAACTAATAAAAACAGTATGGTAGATAACTATGGTGGAAATACAAATTAAAATATCGTTAAATGTAACTTTTTTTGAATTAAAAAAAAATACGAATACCTTGGTTGGAAGAATTCAGTTTTGGTTCCTGACTTTCTGTACACTCCATTGCCATTGATTAACCAAGCTAGGTATTGGTCGAAAATACTGGGCTTCTTTTTTTGAGCTAATACATGCTTACTGCTGAGGTAAATGGATTTATCAAATGTCTGAGACTTTTGCATAGTACTGTACATGAAAATCTCCAATATTATGCAGCACCATTACAGGAAGATCTACATAAATGCTAGAGTCTATTTAGGAGTCTTGTCATATACACAGACCTACATGTAGGTTTCTCCAGCAACACTGCATTAAGGCTAAATCAAATGCGTTATTGCCACAGAAAGCAACCTAAAATTGACAGTAGTGCAACTACATAAATGGTGTATATTTGACACTGGAAAATGTATCCTATCACCTGCACTCTACTACCTACTGCACACTAGCAGATCATAGTGAATAGAGCTCAACACAGCTACACAGTACTCCAGAGCACATCAACTATGCATGGTATGACATTTAAACTAGGATTTCCTCATTTGGAGTGTGCGTTCCTATAGTATTACTTCCTATTCTGTTTATTTCAAGCTATAAATTGGTGATGAAAATGGATGAGTGCTAGTCACATGTTTAAACATATATATTTTTGCTTAAGATTTTTCTGTTAAAATTAGCACCTATGTGCAGGTGATCATATTTCACTTTCAGCGTATCTTTTGGAAACAGATTTACTCTTTATAAAGAGAGTTCCATTGTTTTGAAAATAGTTTAATTGTTCTCTGTTGTGCCTGTTTTTTATTACAATAAAATTGTTTTGAGGTTGTTTTTTTATTTTATTTTTATTTTTTGGTTATTGAGTGAAGGTTGAATGCAATCAATAAAATTACTGACAAATCATCAGGCATTTTAAACAGTTTTGCCTGTACAGTGATCTTGCCCATGTTTGAAAGGTGTTACTACCAAGTTACTAGCTTGTTTGACTAATGTGCAAAATTGCAAATGTAGCTTTCGGGTGAAAGAGGCAGGTCAAGTTCTTAAAGTACTGGTTCATGAAGCAGGCAAGTTGTGACTTTTAATGGGGGTCAGGAAGACAGTAATCTCCACCATTTCAGCAGAGATGAATCTCTGGATAAAACATGAACAAAACGTAAAAATTTCCCATTTTCCTAAAAACATTAGAGATTAGCTATTAATAAATACTGTTTCTTACTGTTTGAACTAGGGATGCATCTATATGTTGACACAGTACTCATAAAAAATCCATGGACACCAACATTCCGATACCCGCTGATACCATGTATCGTTAGTGCGGCTGATTGCACGCTGCCACTCTAATGAACAGATAACTCAAACTGGCAGTGAAGGAGAGTCTGCTCAGACAGAAAAGTGTTGCTGACTCCATGACAGTCGGACACTGGTCACTTTAAACACATCACCTTGGCATATTCTCACCAGATCTACTGTGTGATTTTAAACCATTTTTAAACACACAATCACAACCACTTCCCCAGTACGGGTAGAGACACAAAGGCCAGCGAAACAGAGGCAAGAGTTGACATTGCCTACCAAAGTCTGTATATGCCGACTTTGTATCACTGAAAAGAATAGTGAGGTATAGACGTTAATACTGTATTGTTTTTTTTTTTTTTAATCTAGGCTGTAGAGGGACCATATTGTCCTACCATTTACATCACCGCCTACTTTTAGTTTCAGTGCAGTGTTAGTAGTGCTGCTTAGTTTCTCTTTGCTCAGTACTTGGCACACGGCGTGTTATTCTGAATAAAACATGAGTGTGAATATATGTCGTAGGCTTTGACTCTACACAATGGACCTTTCAGATGTATAGTGTGAGCCACCAAAGAACAAGATTTCTAAAATCACAAAGTTTCTGTCTGGCTTTAGAGGACATTCGATTACAGCTTAACCAGCCATGCAAAAGACTCCAAGCGTAAAACACCACAAGTGAACTCCATGGATGCATTAGCTTTGGATTCTTGCTGCCACTGTGCTACAGAGACACAGATTGGGGTTTAAAACTATGAAACATGCTTTACTTACAGCTGTACAGAAGCGCTTTTCTGAGGTGGAACAAAACTGGCTCTTCTCCACTGCAACGCTACTCAATCCAAAGGCAACTAATGTAACATAGCTAGCTAATTAATATCATTAAATATCAGCTAGACTGTAATGATTTAACTGTTTAGGTACATTGCACTCATTTAAACTAGTTAATTCTAAGTAGGCAACTCAGTATGGTATCGGATTTGGTATCATTACACAAAAATGTATCTCGGTCTGATAAAAATGGTATTGTTGCATCCCTAGTTTTAACATTTGCTTGTCCCCGAAAAAACAGGGATAGTATTCACAAATCTGACCCAGGATCAGATTTTCTACAGTTACTATTAACATGGGTCCAGATACAGCACTCCTGAATGGAGATGCTTAGTGAATACCACCCCTGAGGTCATACATATCAGAGCAATCTGGCTACTCTTTTTTTGCCTTTCAGCAAAAAAAGCAAGATTCTGAGAATCTTAATGCATAAACCCAGAGCCCAAACTTAGTACTCTGTTACCACAGTAAGGTTCTTTGTCTCACACCTATAAAGCCTTATTATAAACACTCACACCTACACATTGTCTCATACAGCACTGCCTGGCTTCTCCTTATAGTCATTACTGTAACTCTCCATTACTCCACTAGGCAGTGCTTTAAGAGTCCTCCTGCTGCACACCACTGTTGCATACAAGTTTGGAAGCCAGAGTGCCATGTTTACTGTCCTTTTTCCCCGGCTGCACCTTATCAGTACATTTCTTACCTGTGACACACAGAACACACTATTCATGTAACCATTAACAACTGTTAAATATGTTAACTTTATTTTAACTATAACTGTTAAAATATATACACAGGGGCGCCACTAGAGGTTTATGGTTAGGGGGGCTAAGCCTGTACTAGGCTGGGGGCATGGTCTCCTTTTTTAAATGGCCCTATAATGTTTGTTTATTATGACTTTTAAAGTAGCAACAGCCAGAAAAAATGGCTATTTGGTCAAATTAGCACACATACACTATATGGACAAAAGGGGCACATCTCTTAATCATTGAATTCAGGTGTTTTATTCAGCCCCATTGCTACAGGTGTACAAAATCAAGCACCTAGCCATGCAGTCTGCCTTTACAAACATTTGTGAAAGAATGGGTTGTTTTAAACAGCTCACTCCATTCAAGCATGGTACTCTAACATAATGCCACCATTGTAACAAGTCAGTTCATGAATTTCTTTTCCTCCTAGATATTCCACGATTAACTGTGAGTGATATTACTGAAAAGTGGAAGCGTTTAGGAGCCATAGAGCGGGGTCGCTGAGTACTGAGGTGCACAGGGCATAAAAGTCGCCAACACTCTGCTGACTCAATAACTGCAGAGCTCTAAACCTCCTCTTGCATTAACATTAGCACAAAATCTGTGCACCAGGAGCTTCATGGCATCGGTTTCCATAGAAGCGTGCAAGATTTACATCACCAAGCATGATGCCAAGCGTCGGAGTGGCGTAAAGCATGCTGCCACTGGACTCTGGAACAGTGGAAATGTATTCTGTGGAGTGACGAATCACACTTCTCTATCTGGCAGTCTGATGGACGAGACTGGGTTTGGCGAAAGCCAGGAGAACGCTACCTGGCTGACTGCATTGTGCCAACTGCAAAGTGGAGGAGGGATCATCAGTGTCTGACCTCACAAATGCTCTTCTGGATGAATGGGCAACAATTCCCCAGAGACACTCTAAAATCTTGGAGAAAGCAATCCCAGATGAGTGGAAGCTGTTATAGCTGCAGAGGGGGGACCAACTCCATATTAATGCCTATGGATTTAGAATGGGATGTCATAAAAGGTAGGTTTAATGTGTAGGTAGGTGTAGGTTTAATGTGTAGATGTTACACTACTTTTGTCCATATAGTGTATATTATTCAAATACACAGTTGGTGCAATCAGCTGTAGGCAAGCTTAATAAGCTATAGGTATGTTTAATAAGCTAGGTGACATAATTCCATGCTCATAGTAACAAATATTTTCTCAATTAAGTTCAGTTAAATGTAGTATTAATTTTAACTGAAAGCTTAAACCACTCTCCCTCGCTTTCTTCTCAATGACTAACCTCCATCAGATCTACTCCTTAAGCCCTGTCAGTCTCCATCAGGTTCTTTCTCTCTCTCTTTTTTGCTGTGTTTAGTAAAACATTATTTTTTTTATTAAACTCAGATTTACAAGAACTCAAGGAAATAATGAGAGCGAGCAATCTTTTATTGGTAAAAATCCTCTCATCTGACTGGCCTTAGAGCTGCTGACTCTAAATTTCCATCTACAGCTTAAGGACTTGAGGGTTATAAAATTGTTTTATGATCAATACCATATGACATTTTCTGACATAAACTTACTGTAAAACACAATATATGGCAAATACTGGTGTCACTGTTTCCAAATACTGAAGAAAAATGTAAGAACAAAGAATATAAAGATTTGTCAATAATGTTATTTCTATCTCTGTTGCCCTTCACACTCTCACTCTCACTATGAAGTTTCGTCAAATTCTTAAACCAGTTGGCTTGACAGCTGGCTAGCTAATGTTAGTGTTAGCCTAACCACTTTTCTATGCGTATCATTTAAACCTAAAGTTAGCTAGCTAGCTAACAAGCAACCGAGTAAAAACCTGACAGCTGTACTCACCATAATTTGCTACAAAAGGGTATCTTCACTCTGTAACTACTTACTGTTTCACTCTGTATATTATAGATTTCGTAAGGTCTAATGTTTACTTTAGTAAGCTTTTAGCTAAAATCCTGCCACAACTTCAGCGGCTGCTGGCAGAATGAATAAAACCAGGGACCCTTCCCCAGGTCTGATATGATTGGCTTACAGTTTACAAGGTCTGACGTGATTGGACGAGCCGGGTTCCACTTTTTCACATTATGTTACATTTCTGGCAACACAAGCAGCGCTGCATTAGAGGAACATGGCATGGTTGAATAATAAATGGGAATAAGCTATAGATCACTTTGAACTAATATTGTACTTTTATTGTGAAGGGGATTAAAACTGGTCTAGTGACGCCCATATATATATATATATATATATATTATATATATATATATATATAAATAATAATAATATATTTATATAAAATAATAAAATACATAGAGTGCTGCTTGAAAGTTCGTGACTTTTTAGCATTATGTGACCTAAATATGACCAGATATAACAATAAAAACAACACAAACAATTACACAGTTTTTTTTGTTGATTGAGCAAATTGATCCAACATTAAATGTCTTTGTTGGAAAAAGTTTCAGTAACTGGTGTGACCCCTTGAGCAGCAATGACTTCAACCAGTTCCCTGCACATTGAATCTTGGCCCATTCCTTCTTACAGGACTGCTTCAACTCAAGGTTTTCTTACATGAACGCCATGTCTTAGGTCCTGCCGCAACATTTGTATTGGATTACTGGGTTTTGGCTCAGTCATTCCAAAATGCAACAGCCATTCAGCTATTTTTCGAAGACTTACTGGTGTTTTTAGGGTTGTTATCATTTTGTAGGTCACAGCTTCTGTTGAGGTTCTTTTCTTCTGTAGATCTCATACTCTCCTGTAGAATCCAAAATTCATAGCCCAATCAAATAATGGCAAGCTGTCCTGGTCCAGTAGCAGCAAAACAGCCCCAAACCGTGATACTGCCACCACTGTAATTCACAGTTGGTATGAAGTTCTTATGCTGGAATGCTGTGTTTGGTTTTTGCCAAACAGTTCTCATTTAAGCCATAAAGATCTTTTTTTGCTATATTCAACACATAACATTCCTTACATACTATTATTTTTAAGTTTTTATCTGATGTTGAATTCATGAACACTGGCATTAGCCACTATAAAAGAGGCCTGCAGATCTTTAGATGTTACCTTGGGTTTTTTGTGATCTCCCAAAATATTATATGCCATACTCTTGGATTCATTTTTGTTGGATGACCACTCCTGGGAAGGGTAACAGTGGTGTTGAATTTCCTCCACTTGTACTGTCTGACACTCCACACTCATCAGAAATTGTTTAGGAACTTCTTTCAGCCTAATGAGCATCGGCCAATTTTTTCTGAGGTCCTCAGAAATCTCCTTTGACTGAGACATGGCATGCACTAAGAAATGTGTGTAGTAAAGACCAGACTTTGATGGTGATTGTTGCTTTTTAGGTAGGGCAGGGTCAGCCACACTCACACCAGTTTATTGAACTTCCTGACCCTAATTATTCCCTATATCAATCTGATAATTCTTAAGGTTTCAATACTTTTGCTCACCAATTATGTATAATGTTGGATCACTTTGTTTGTAAAATACAAACACACACACACACACACACACAGATACATATACACATACTTGGAATTGGGCCCATAGAGAAGAACACTCTGTCCATTTTGATTTTGGGTCGGGTTCTTGCAATCAGAAACACTCCTGCAAATGCTAACAAACACCTGAAAAGAAACACAGTCACAGTAAACAAAAGTAAAGCTTTTCATAGCCAATAAACAAAATGCATTTCAGTGCTATTGAGACAAAATCTTATATTTCTGTTTTTGTTATTTTCTATCAAAAAAGTAAGCTCTTGTAACATTAACATTCATTAGGATTTACCAATTTGGAGGTAAAAGTTTTTGTTCAGACAGCAATGATTTATAAGTTACTCCCTGCCTATACACACAGAGGGAGTAGTGTGAGATGTGGGAATTCACATTGATTGTGATTCATAAAGCAGGAAGATGACTTCTGAAAACTAAAAAATGTAGGTATGATTTCTGAGAACTAAAAAATATAGGTATGTCATTTTTATTCAATACACTCAATCTTGTATTTCAAAGCTACAAATATTACAGCATTACTCTTGTTTCATTGTTAAGTATTAGATGGAAACAAAAAAGTTTACATTCTTGAAATATCCGATGGAAAAATGGCCCATCAGGAATTGTTTTCTCTGTGGTATCTAGGTTCTTATAGCTAAGCAAACTATTGGTTAGGACTTAAAAAGCTGAATAGAATCCCTAATGCATTACAAAATATTAGCATAATTATGAAGTGACGGAAGAATCAATCAATCATGTTTTGATTTCTAATAGGTGGGACCAATTTCATGAGAGAAAACATCACAGGCCTTCTGCAAGTCCTACATACATCACTGACTGTAAAAACGAGTGGCAGCCTAATCAGTGGGTTTTTAGAAATGGAAAACAGCAACGGCAGCTCTATACCAAGGCTCTCTACCTAAAGAGTCACTGTAAAACTGCTACAAGGTAAAACATATGGTTATATGTCTGTTACATGAAGGCAATATGAAGGCCTAGCTCTAACAGTCACAGGCCACTACTGAATGCAGCACTTACCCAAACACAAACATGATGATGTATATCAGTGATAAACCATAGAACTCCTCATAGAACAAAATTCCTGCAAAGAAATGAACATAATCAAGTTAAGGGGCAGTTGTAATTCTAATAATTTATGCTTTTTTACATTTTCTCTCACTTACCTGAAATTTCACTTATGTGAAATATTGCATGATACAATACTAGATGTGAAAAGATGAAGACTAATATACATCTCCTATATGGTATTGCCACTGCAAACTTTTCAAACTATGCTGAAAACATCAGTTCACTCAGAGGGAACAATATTAGTTGCTTGTATTAGTCGCTTGACTCTACCATATAACCATGGAGACAACTGATTAGCTTAGAGAGACCTTAATCCATTCCCTTCCAGGGACAAAGAGGCCAGATAGTGCTAGCTACTGACAGCACACAGCACAGCTTAACTCAAACCTGAATGGCAGCTCCAGGGCAAACTTCTACAGTACTGATTAGTGCTTTAATTTGCAACTTTAGCAGTTTTGTCATGGAGGTTTCAAAATGCCGTCATCTGACTATCCTTAAATACACTGTGGACAAAAGTATTGGGACATCTACACATTACACCCACAGGAGCTTTTATGACATCCCATTCTAATCCATAGGCAATAACATGGAGTTGGTCACCACTTTGCAGCTATAACAACTTCCCCTCTTTTGGTAGCGTTCTATAAGATTCCACTTCAAAGCGTGTTGTTGTTTTTTTCCAGGGACAGTGCTTCAGTCATATTTGGAAGAATGAATAATAATCACAAATTGAACAAGCATAATATTAAAGCAGCAATATGCGATTTTACTTACAAAACAGCCAGTATGGCAGTGTTCTTGGGACTGTATATTGACACTTATCAGTGTGGGTAATTCAGAGCATCTATACTGCCCCTGGTGGTGTGGAGAGGCAATCGCCCTCTCCTTATTTGATAGTGGATCAAAAGTGTATGGCTGTGTTATCAGTATCGGACTCAAAGGCAGGTTTCTGCTAACTATAAGAAATGCTTTTTTCTCAATTCTTGGTTGTCAAAAACAGATACGACTGTTGTCATAACCAGTTTAGACAGTAACAGTTATCTATTCAAGTAACAATGAAAGCTACCATAGATCAACTCACAGATCATCGCTACATAATGTATGTTTGAGATCAAGCTATTTCTGACCTGCAGTTGAAGTTAATGTTACTGAAAATGTGTCACACTGACAGGAAGCCTAGCGAATTATTTATTTCTCCTGATAAGGACCTTGCACTATTACATCAATACTAAGTACTACAGAATGGAGACTATAGTCGCATGGACGACTAATCTCTCATGTTCACTCAGTATGTAGTGGAAATGCTATTAGCATGTCTGATGGTGCCAAATTATCATTGTACCTTGTCCTATATTAATAATTTTTTGTAAAATATCAATGTCGACATGTATGTATTTGTCGACAATGCCTGACAAATAATAAAGTATTTGACACTACAAGCAGCCTTGGCCTCACTTTAAAGTCCTCTGTCCTTCTCTTAGTTTTCTTTTTCATTTATTTTGCGTTTTTATTTGGCCTAAGGGCTGATTCACACATACTACCACTGCATGACATGAGGGACATGAAACATCTTGATTTTCATTTCAGCGCTCAGGTTAACAGGTCAGTACATTCAAGCAGGCTGTGCAGGCAGGGCAGCAGAGCATCCCAGACACAGCACTGAAACATTGCAGTATTTGGAGAAATGGGCAGCTGATTTTTCCATGTTCTGCACACACCACACAGAAAATTACACTGAAATAACACATGAAAAGCAATGAAAATGAAACATATATAAAAAATAAAACTTAAAAAAAAACAAAAATTCATGAATTCATGAACGCTATCAAATGAAATACTAGTTAACATGCCATGCTGCACACAGATTTCCTGGGTCGTTCACCAGGCTTGAAAGCATCACCCAATCAAAAGTGAGAATGCTGCTGAGGGTAAACAAATTTACAGTGCTCTTTTTATTGAGGAAAATATCTGAATTAACTACTTTTCCAATTGGAGATGTTGGTGTAACTTTCTTGCTGCACCAATCCGCAGCACAAACACTATATGAATGAAATGGCCAGTGCATGTGAGCTGTTTTACTCATGCTGCCCCTACACTCACATTAGCAGAGGTAGTATGTGCAAATTAGGCCTAATAATACTTGCTGCCAACTGCCCTGTGTTTCTGCCTGTAAAGAGTTGCGATGATCCTCCTTGATCATTTTTCCATTCAAGACTCAGCAACACACAGGTCGCTTGTCAGGTACTGCAATGAATAACATATGAGAAAGTGACTAGCGTAGCCTTAGCAGCTTTAACCAATGAGCATGCAAATCTTTTTCTTCTACGGAGAGTTTGCCCCCCTGTTGTCACTAGAGCGTGGCCTTGCCCATGTGTGGACCCAAGGCCACTTATGATAAAATGTTTCACATAAACCTATGAAGTAATTTGGCTTCTTTTCCACTGCAGGGCGAAACCATTCCATTCGCATTTCTACACAGAAATGTTCGACATAGAATGCTTACAAACCCATTCCACATTTTTTTCAGTTAGCTAACCGTATTTAGAGCCACAGACCGATACTGTTCAATGGGAAGATGTAACGACAATTGGTTCACACTGCCAAATATGAAGATGATCAAAACACACATGAGGGACATCAGTCAGTACAGTGTGGTGTAATGGCCCCAGCCTTCTCTGAGGATACCTGTTTCTGTGAATAGAAAAGGAGGATATAATCCATTATATTATAGAGACTGCACAATGTGTAGTGTATTTCACTACTGTTAGAAGGGTTGGAATACACTACATCAGTTGTCAGTTCACCAGGAACCTTGTAAGACTCAGCTATTGAGCAATTAATGTTGAATTGATCAGTAATTTATTCTAAGAAACCATAATTACTAAGTAATTCTCTATGACACTCAGTAGTTATTGTTTAGTTAATAGTGAACTACCCAAATCATTAGTTCACTATTACCTACTGAGTAGTTAACTAGTAGTCCTTGGTAGTTAAGAGTAGTTACTTAAGTGCATTAGGCAGCACTACTCATTCGTTCCTGCTTAGTCCCTGATTAGTTACTTATTAACTACAAAACAGTATTGTAAAGTGTTACCCCAAACCAACAGAAACAAAAAATAGTCATAGACAACATATACTAATAGTATGGCACAAAAAATACAATAAAAGATGCAATACTGCAAAAGATAAAAGAAGGTAAAATATTTAGATAAATGATTTATGATCCTTTTGAACTTACTATATATGACATGACAGGTTTTGGAAATGGTTTACGTCTTGAGATATTTACTCTGGTGGGGTCTTTCTTTGATTGTTGACTTTAACATAGATATACCTACCTCTTGCAAACTTTTTGGTGTTTCTGAGCTCACCAGTGCATTCTTTCTTTTATAGAATGTACAAAATAGTTCACTGGGCAACACCTAATGTTTTTGTTATCTCTCTGATGGGTTTGTTTTGGTTTTTCAGCCTAATGATGACTTACTTCACCAGCAGTAACAGCTTTATGGACTTCGTATTAAGAGTTAACAGCAGCAAATTACTTTTGAACCCCTAAAAATGATGCACTGTATGTATGAATGTACAGGGACGTTATATATGAATGGTTGTAATTCCTACACTGTATGTGTGTGTGTGTGTATATGTATGTATGTATGTATATTGTGCCTTGTGACCTTGAGCAAGGCACCTAACCCCCAGCGGCTGCCCACCGCTCTGGGCAAGTGTGCTCACTGCCCCCTAGTGTGTGTGTTCACTAGTGTGTATATGGTGTTTCACTGCACAGACGGGTTATAATGCAGAGGTGAAATTTCCCCGCTGTGGGACTAATAAGGGTCACTTAACTATAGATAGATAGATAGAGATAGGTCCCAACTCTGAGTTCTTTCTGAAATTGTGGTAAAACAGCAAAACTGTAAACCACACTAGCCGCTAGATGCTGCGTTTATTATTTTGCATTTTTCTGTACCCATGATGTCAGCTGACCAATTTTGTATTTTTGTCATTATGTTGTTTTAAAAACAGACAGTCCAGCAACAACAATGATCATATTCTGAGTGTAGAATTCAGAGTAATAGCTGAAATACAGCTTCTTGGACATCATAGTGTAGTTTTTGTAGATTCAAATTCTATTCACTAAAACTCCAGACAGTACATCACAAAAGATTAAGCCAAACAGTACAGTACCTGCTACTACAGCACTGGCTGTGAAGAAGACATAATTGATAGGAACAATTTCTGTAGCATCAAACATCTTCATGGCCTCGTTGAGAAATCTGTAAAAAAAAAAAATTAAATAAATAAATACATTAAAAAAATGAACTGGTAAAAAATTGGTAAATTAGAACTGTTTCAGTTTTTCTGATGTTCCAATTCACATAAATCAACAAGAATAGAATTTGAATTTAATGAAAAATCCTGGAGACTCACTTAATCTGAAAGGCACAGGAGGCTACCATAACAATGAACATGATATAGAAGATTGGGTAGGTGAGCTGCAAGTGGCTCCCACGAATTGTTTCTGTGAGCATCCCAGACACAGCTTTCACTGAGATCACCGTCACAGAAGCTGCAACACAGATGCACACAGGCTTATACATCATGCTGTATATGAATCAGTGATGGATTAAGGTAATGTAAATACAGCAAGAGGTGTGTAGTCTTACCAAGCAGAGCCACCAAGAGCATCACAATCACAATATGATTCAGATTCCTGCACTTATACAGGTACAGCAGGATACAAAACAAGACCACTTCAAAAAGCTAAAGGAGAGAGAGAGAGAGAGAGAGAGAGAGAGAGAGAGAGAGAGAGATTAACAAAAAACATTTGCAGCAGTGCAAAAGTTGAAATGTTATGCACACAGATGTGCTGCATACAATAAGGCAAAATATCCAGCAGGTGGTGCTCTTTCACTCTCTTATATTCTGAGAAGAACTCAGAATAATTCAGAGATTTTATATCTTCAATTTCGCAGTATTATATCTAACATCTAAAAAATAACAACAAAAAACATTCACAAATTATATTTTACTGTCATATTTTACCTCTATCATTATTACATTTAATTTTTTTGCTTATGTGTTTCCCATAAATATCTTTGTACCATGGATAAATTTAAAAATTACTATTATATTTTATAACTTTGCACTGATAATTTCGATTACATAAACATACCCAGGAGTATATGTTTACAACAGAAGTGTATCAATGTTGTTTCAGGTTTGTCTGTTCCATTCTGCACTGTTTTTAGAAATTTTCTTCCAAGCTGAATTTCCAAGAGATTTATCAAGATTTATTATAATTATGAAATCTCTGAATTTCTCAGATTTATTAAGACTAAACAGACCAGTGGCAGTATAAAATTTATATGCAGTTTGTGACGTACAAAGTAAGCAAGGAACTGCCAGCTGATGAGACAACGCTCCACCATGTTGGCAGTCACGTGAGGGGCAGAGTGGGGTGCAAAGGTCACCAGTAGGTATGTGCCTGTGAGAGCAAGAGCACCCCCTGTGGACAGAGCAGAAAAAACACAAAACATGATTTATGACTACAGTTAACCCAGACACACAACGTTGTCAAAACGTTGTCTTTTTTTTATGTATGCTGTTTATGTTGTCTGAACAAAGTTGTCACAAGGATATCACTATTAAGCAACCCTGCCATATGGTGTTATGACTACCTATTAGCAACTTAGCAAAATTCCATGGAGTTCTATGCACAACATAATGGAACTTTTGTTGTAACAATATTCTGACAATGTTGCCACTACATTGTCACAATGTCCTGGAATGTTGTTAGATAATGTTGTAACAACTTTCTCAGGAATTATATGTCAATGTTGTGGGCACCAAAATAATAGGTTGTCGACACTGTCACAGTGTAACCATGTTTGCTGGGAATGGGCTTGTTCGAGACAAACTGTGCCTCGCCTTGGTGGTCAGCAAGGGTTGCAGTTGCAGTTGCCAAGAAGAAAGCTGTCAAGCTGGACAGTTTTACCGACAGCAGCCCACATTAGCTGTCTTGCGGCATTCACATATCAGAAATAGCATTTATATAACAACATAAATCCAAATTCAGTTAAATTTACATTTGAAAATAATAACCACAAACACGACATAATTTAATATGCAACAAGCTCTATTCAACAAGTTGGTGTTGGTTAAAATGGAGCATAGTTTATAAATGCTTAAACATTTTTTATGTAAAATAATACAATCATTTCCTGAACACTGAATAGCATGAAACGTTTTAACACCGCTGTTATTTTTTTGAGCACTTTTGAACGCGAGTTATAGGAGGTTTAAAAGGTGCCTATGCACATCCATGACATCTGTGAGTGTGAACAATGAGCTGCTCCGCTCGCCAACCAATCAGCACTCAGTAGCAGTAAAGCTAGCAGCCCGTTGCCCAAAACCTGCTGTAGATAAAAGGAAATATATAGGTAAGTTTTCTTTTGCTTTTTTAGTAAAATACTTTTTAGTAAAATACTTCCTAGTGTCTACAATGTTGCTATGGACAATGACGACCCAGCACACCCCCCTGCTTGCCTGTGTGCGTGTTTAGCTTCTTGCCCACTAGTTTATTGTTAGCAGTCTGCTTCGTCATCTCCAGCTAACATGGTTAATCTAGCGTTATGGTTATTTTCACCTATCCATCCATTTATTCCTCTGTAGATGTGAGCTGATGTCACTGTACCCTGATAGTTGGAAAGGAATTTTTATCCTTTATAGCATTTATATCCTTTAGTTAGTTTGGACTCATGGACACATTGTTGTGTGTTTGGTTTTCTAACAATTCTGGACACATCTTGAATTTCAATCTTCTTGTTGGCTTAAAAGAAGATTATACAGGTATGTACCAGTCCTTTGTTGCATAATCTTCCACAGTACTTAATCTTTTGTTAGTCATACCAACACAAAAATGATTTGTTATATACGATCTATGTCAACAAAAGAGCAGTTTGTTCAGGGATTTTGGGAAGGGGCTCTCGCAAGTCAATCAACTCAATCAAAAAACTTACCAGCATGCACCGTACCAAGCCAGGTGACACACAGTGTTAAGTCGAACAAGCCTAATGTCTTGAGGCCGTGGGATTAAACCACAGTTAAGTATTTCACTTACTGCTCACATTTAAGACCTCTCTTACCTACAATATGAAACATAAGAGAAAACCAACAGAACTTACCCAGAAGATCAGAGGCCCGTAAAGTTTCTTTAAGGAACACTACAGAAATGATAGCACTGGCTGAAAAAGAAAAAAGATAACAAAGGAGCTCTTATTAACATTTTGTGAATTTGACCCTGAAAACTAGAATGTGCCAATAAGGTATACCACAGTTTTCACAATACATAATATTGTTATTGTGGATACTTTGGGAAATAGTAGTGTTTTTATGTGTTTCCTATGTTTGCACACAGATTATGCACCTGTGTTCAGCTATGCTGAAGATGTTTGGTGATGCCTGATGTGAAGGATCTGTGTTGATTACACTGTCTTGGTTTTGCCTGGTGTTGGTTAGTAAAGTTGGAGCTAATGTTAATGCCAAAGATGGTTTTAAGTTTGTTCTCATTAAGAGCACAATATTTGTTCCACTTGAAGCCTTTCTCACTCTGCCTAGCGAGCCTTCCACGCCACGGACCTGCTGGTTACAGTTCTTCAAAACATACCTCGTAGCTGCAGGGCTAACTGTGGTGAACGCCACTACTACAGCTGCTGTTATAACCTGTTCTGAGATCAGGCTGTAACAGAGAATTAGAGTGGGCACTCACGCCAGACCTCTCGCCAGACCAAACACCGGACTCCATTTAAACCGGAAAACTGCTCAGGTTTATTTAAATTTTCTTAAGAGTTAAAAGAGACTAAGCTGGATGGGAAGGTGTAGCTTCAGGGATAAGCTAATATAGATAAACTAAAATAATAAACAAAAACAACCAAAGGTTTTAAGAGAAACGAACTAAGCCTGAAGACAAATGAAACTAAAACACAAAAAGCTCCCTTAACTCCCTACTTTAAAACCAGGAGAAAAAGGCTAAGGAAAACAAATGGCTCTTCTCCCAAATGTTCAACGTTTCACAAAATCTAACAAAGCTTTTGAGAAATTTACAAGCAAAATACAGAATGGAATGAAGAGTGCCAGGCTGGTCTGGACAGGTGTACTTCCAAAAGAGCCCTGAACATCTTCCAGGTAGTGGGTTGGTGACCTCTTATACAGGAGGGTGCCCCACAGACCTGCACATAATGCAATAACAATGCAAGAGAAAAAACACAATATGGCCACAGACAGACACAAAAAGGCTAGTACAACTGTGGGTCATAATAGTCCCACCCTTAAGAATAAACATCTTTAACACAAAATGTGCCATCGTACTTCCAAGATCTTATACAAATTTACAAATGAGGCTCTGATTGCAGACAACTCCCACAATCACTAAGATCATTCTAGAAACAACACTCAAATTGCTTTGATGCAAATACTAAAGCTAGAAATCTTGAATTTTGCTAGACAAACTTCTTGTTAAATAAAGCAAAAGAAGTTTTTAATTCTCATTTTCCAGACTATATAAGTACAAATCTAAATATCACTACATATCCTAAATTTAACAAATGAACATGGCTCAGGAACACTAAACAAAACTAATCTCCCCGAGGGCAGACAAAGCTAACAAGAGCATAAATGCCTCTTGTTATCAGTGCACAGTTCAAAAGTCTGTATTCATGATGGTATAGGGTGCATTAGCGCACATGGCATGGGTGACGTGCACACCTGTGAAGGTACCATTAATGCTTAACAATACATACATGTTTTGGCAACATATGCTGGCATCCAGATGACATCTTTTTCAGGGGAGGCCTTACTTATTTCAGCAAGACAATGCCAAACCACATTCTGCACGTATTACAACAGCATTGCTCTGTATTAAAAGAGCCCTGGTGCTAAACTGGCCTGCCTGCAGTTCAGACCTGTCACTCATTGAAAACATTTGGATTGTTATGAAACGAAAAACACGACAAATGAGCCCCCGAACTGTTGAGCAGCTGAAATCCTATATCAAACAAGAACGGGAAAACATTTCACTTTCAAAACTACAGCAATTGGTCTTCTCGGTTCCCAAACACTTACAGAGTGTTGTTAAAAGAAGAGGTGATGAAACACATTGTTAAACATGCACCCATGCCAAAGTTTTTGGAAGTGTTGTTGGTATCAAATTCAAAATGCGCATATTTTTAAAAAGCAATACAATTTCTCAGGTTCAACATTTGATATGTTGTCTTTGTAGTATTTTTCCTTCAAAAATATGGTTTACATGATTTGCATATGTAGTATCTGGAGTTCCATGTGTTATCTGACTTTGCAGGTTTGGAATGTTTAAGTTAGGGGGCCCCTGGTCCAAAGGTCCAAGGGTCAAGGTGCCATAGGGAATGGGCCCCCCTCTCTTCCTCTCCCTTCCTCTCTTAGTTCCAGATGGATGAGATCATTTTAAAAAGGACCATATGTTCTGTTTCCTTTTTCGACAACAACCACCCTATGTAAGCAGTTGGTTATACTGTTCTGGGGGGGACACTTCAGAATTGGCACGGATCCCCTCTCAGGTACTTTATAGTGCTTGATATGATACTGTTTTACTTTGTAATAAACATCTTATACAAGCAAGACAGTGTCAGCGGAGACTTCTTCATCATCTTCACATCATTGCTATTTAATAAACAACACATATCATTGCATTCTATTTTTATTTACATTCTGCACAGCGTCCCAACTTTTTTGGAAATGGGGTTGTATTAAATAATACAGATCTACTCTCTCGCTTTGACTCTGTCCCAGCCCCTCACAGGGACACTGACTGTAGGGAACAGGACATTATCCAAATGCTATACACACTTCTCCAGACCATGGTCTGACTATGGGAGCTGAGGGAATCCAGTTCTCTTTCATCTCTGCACCTTCATCTGGGACAGCCGGCCTCAAAAGATCTCAGAGAAGCTGGCTGGATTCTCCCAAGTCAAACAGGAGCTTTCCCCGGCTGGATTGGGGCTTGTGTGGTGTGTGGGCTTTGCACAGTGGTCCCCGGTGTCCTGTGTGTGTTTTGGCTATGGTGCATGAGGGCTAATTAGGCATTGTGAAGCTTAAGCAGCATTGCCAAGACCTGGTCTGCTGGCTGCGGATATATAGGGACATTGAGGCCCTGGTTAAGGACTGTTCTGCCTGTCTTGTGTTTGGCAAGATGGGCCACCCGGCTCCCCTCACCCCTTACAACTGCTGGCCTGGCCATCTCAGCCTTGGGAACACCTGCAGCAGGATATCTGTGACAAGATCCACATTTTTGGTGACCATCTATGACGTGCACTCTAAATGACCAAAACTCACCACTGCTGATTCAGTGACCTCTATAATTGACTTTCTGGACTCAACTGGTCTCTGCTGGTCTCTGCTGAAATCACTGTCTACTACTTGCTAATAAAGGCATCCGCCACAGGCACACTGCTATTTACTACCCCCAGGCTAAAGGTGTTGTCGAATGCTTTCATCAGTCACTGAAAAATGGCATCACGGTGCACCCTGCCCAAGGGTTCTCCTTCAAATAGGTCATCTGCCTCACTTTTGACTATAGGCATTTCCCCAGCCTCACTTATGTCAAGCTAGGAGCTCCGCCTACCCCCAGATCACACCCTTGGCGTGGCACAATGCACCTTTGCCTTTAGCAGCTCCTTTACAAGTCTGAGACAGCCTTGCATCTCCCTGTGGCCTGTAAAGTAGGAGCTAGTATTAATACAAACACAGTGTCAGTTCATGCGCTTTTAAAACACAGTAGTGCTGCTGAGCCAAATACTATGAACTATTTATGGGTTTTTGTTAGATTTCAGCAGTGATTTCATGTTTTTCATGTTTCATGTTTTTTAATTGGTAATTTGGCTTTCAGTTTTTAGGTTTCTCCCCATTCAAAGAGTTAGGAGCCTGGTCTTCCATGACTGGAAATAACCACCACAGAGTGGGTAGGCTTTGCTATAAGGACGTTAATTTTAGTCAAGGTACAGTTTTAGTATATGGCGTGCGCCCGCCCCCCGGGCCCCGATGGCGGCTGCGAGAGAGGGGCCCGAACATCGAGCGGTGGCGAACCTCGGCAAGGACGGAGGGTAGAGAGCCGCGAGTGGATGGGGGACGGAGCCGAGGGAACGGCTAGTAACGGCTGGAGGAGGAGGACGACGGTGCCGGCAACAAGAGGCACGAGGGCAAGGAGCGAGTCCCGAGCTCCGCCGCCCGGGCCCCGTCCCGTTACGCAGCGAGGCCGCTTCACTACACCTCACGTTCTACTCGGGCGGCCGAGCTGCCAGCTGGGGGCATTTATGAGGAGGCGGAGCAGCGAGCTCTTGTTCCCTCTTGGCTGTGGTGCTCACGCTGCCTTAATGAGAGCCAGCTGATGCTGATCTGGCTCGTCCCTCTCTCGCTCTGAGAGGGAACAGAGCGAGAGAGGGACGAGCAGCAGCAACAACAGACTGAGGACAGAGCTGAAAAGCTTACTTTAAAAAGGACTGAAAAGTCTAGCTTAAGCCACTAAAAAGTGGCCAGCATAGCTTTGATTATTTGGTTTTGTTTGCTTTGTATTTATTTGGTGTGCGAATAAAATATGGCTGCTGCAAACGCTTCTCCTGCCTCCAGCGTCCTCCTTGAGCCCGGGGTAGCCCATGTCGTGCTACACAGTCATATAATTGTTTTACCAGTATTTTCTTTTTCAAATGCGTAGAGTCGCTCTGGTTTCAAAAGTTTCCACTACGCTGTCACATTCTGATCCCATTCTTTATACATACTTTATACATTTCTGTTATACAGTCGATTGAACTGGCAACACATTATTGCTATAAGAGTTAACATTTAGACTTTTTTTTATATCTTTTTATATATTTTAAATTGGTGAAACCAAAACCTTGCCTGGTGAAAAAGTCAATTCACGTTAGCTGGACTGGTTAATTTCACTTTGCACTGCATTCTTCTGGGTGAACTTTTACACACACACACACACACACACACACACACACACACATCCTTTGCAGAATAGGTTATATCTCAGTGAAATTCTCCTGGTAAATAAATATGTGTAGACAAAGTGTCCAAGGTGATGAAACCCAATCATAAATCCCGACCCTGATCTTATTTTCTTTATTTTTGTGCTTACAGTTAGTGTCACTGTTAGTGACTAAAAAAAAAGCCATTATCAAAGCCTTCAGGCCAATTAATATAAATTATATAT